CCCTCATAGCTGTTCATTTTCATGAAAACTCTGCCCAGTTGTTTCCCATGTGGTTTTGGGAGGCTGAGAGGAGGGACAGCACAATCACAAGCTCTTATATAATTAAAAGCTTACATTGAAAAATTATACCCCAGGATACCCCAAAAAAATGACCTAGTTAGGATGAGATGCTGAAGTTTGTGTGCTTTTACACATTTTACATACAAAATTTTTTTTGAAGAGGAAAGGTTACTTTTCTGCTCTGATCTTAAGCTCCCTGTCCCACTTTAGGTTTCTCTTTCAGAGCCTAATTTAGATATTGTGCATGAAGTGCTGTTCTGTTTGAGGAACTCCTCGGTGCAAATTGTAATTTGATCAAAAAGCTTCGCTGTCCTGTAGTAATAACCAAATTAAACCGTGTCATGCATTATTCTCTTCTAAGGTACTGTAATGAAAACATTTATTTCTAATAGCTTTTTGCTCTTTTTGAATTTTAAATCTGTGGCAAAAGCTTACTTCATATTGTCAATATAGTGAAACTGTCTTCATGCAGAGCTTTCTAGGCTCCATCCATGGTGCCTAGTGAAATCAAATTTTTAGGAGTGTTTTAGATTTATATAGAAATTATTATTTTTCTGTTTTTCTTAGGATGCAAATTTATTTTGAATTTTTATGGAAGCTTTATTGTATTTCTGTGTACAAACTGGCTTTATTCCCAAAGAGCAAATCATAAAGATGTGTGGTAATACAGAACATGAGTGCAGATTTTTAAGATGTTTGCTCTTTGTACAGTGAGAACAACTCCTTGTTTGCTTACCTACTTGGAACCCTTTTGCTTAAATAAGGAAAGAGCAAAATGCCTTTTGTTTGGGAATTCCCGTGCTTCCTAATTCTCAGAACAACTTTGTGGGTAAACTCACTTTTGCTTCCAGTTTCTAGGTCTCTGTACTGATTTTAGTATTAAGCATCAACAGATTGTTCTGACCTTCAGTGCAGTATATACAGCTTGAAGTGTCAGCTGAGGTTGGGCCTCAGTTGCTTGAATAGCACCTGTATTGAACAGGATTAGTGACCAGGCTGGAGCAAGCAGTGTCACAGTGTCCCCTGTCTGATGGCCTCAACAGGTTCCACTCAGGTGTGAGTGTTAGCAAATGCTGGCTGCGGGGGACATGCCTGAAGGACAAGCCACAGTGGGCAGAACCAACCTTGGTGACTGTGCCTCTTTTTTTCTTTAAATGCTTATCTGTCCTGAAAAGTGATTGTCCAAGGTTTAACAGTTTTAAAAGACATCTAAAAGTCATACTTTTATTGTGATGATCTTTTCCCACAGATAAGAAACTGGAGTGTAAGAACTAGCTGGTGATTAATTGGGCATTAAGATTTAGCTTGCTGAGCAAGAACCAGAGTCTTAGGCTGGATGGCAGCTTGCCATGCCTTTAGGAGTCAGAGGCCCCCACCAGAACTAGCCCATCTTGAATGCCATAGCTAGGCTCCTCTCCCCGCTCTCTGGGGTATGTTAACTTCACTGCCATAATCGCAGAGTATCTTACTGAGGTGTGACTTCAAAATTGCTTTTTGCTGGCAGTTTGAAACATGATTACGGGGGAATAATCTGATTCCTGCTGTTAAAGGTTCCTGAAAAGGAAGAGAAGCCATTGCAGATGACACCCTGTAGTGGCATGGAAACCATAACAGAATGCTGTTTGCAAAAGGGTGGCAGCTGAAATGTTTGTATTATCTGTGCTTGTGTTCACCACTGATCCCACATGCAGGTGTGGGAGCATCTAACTAATATGCATGAGGACAAAGCTCTGTGCATACAGACAGGCATCACTTCTCCCCATCCCCTTGTTCACTACAGCTAGTTCATTGGGATAAGGTTGTGGTGGTCTTGTAAGCTCAATGCTCTGTTGTATTTTGACAGTACTTCATTAATGGCTTCCTAGTTTTGCTGCACAAGAAAATGCTGGCATTCAATGTTGTGGAAGAGAATTCCTCACCAATCTGGCTGCTCTGTTGCTGAGCTTGTTTTGCTTTTCTGGTCTGACATACTTCTTCATAAAATAAATACAAAACCCAAGGCAGACAAATCTGACTGTTAGGCATATCGCATAATGTGTTTTATTTGTCAGTGTGCTTTCTGCTTGTTTTCTGTGACAAGATATCCAAGATGTCAGGTCCAAAAGTGGAGTCCTGTGGCACCCTGTACAGTTTATTCTGGTGTGAAGTCTCTCTCTTGACAGCTGACAGTCCAGCCCGGAGCAGTTTCATATCTCTGTGACACTCTCACCTGCTGCTCATTTGGCATAGGGTACTGTCTGTGTTAAATCTTGAATATTCTCCTGTCACCCCTGCCTGCCTGCCTCCTTGTGACTAATTATTCAGTTTTGTTTTGAAGAAATCATGCTTTTGGAAGACTTCATATCTCCAATCATCTTTAGCTTATTTTTTGTTCAGAAGAAACTTAATGGGGAAGCAGACATTCATAGTTGTGGACTGTGACTTGCAAGTTTGGGAACTTTGTGCTCTGTTGACTGACAATTCTCCTGTCAGCATCTCTTTTAGTACCTCTTTTTCTGTATTTCTTTTGTGGGTCAGAAGCAGGTCATGCCTTGTTTTTTCTGTCATTTTAAGAAAAGTAATGCTTCCTGAATTGTTTCTACAAATCAACATGCTTGAGGTTGGCTTTTGACTTCAGGAATTGACAGAATAGTGGAGGTCTTGAATATGATTTTAGAAAATACACAGCTGCAGAGGGAAAAGAGGTATTAGTATCTATAAGTCAAGGAACTGAAACATTTAGTTCCTAAACTGCAAGTGCCAAATGGAGCTTTTCTAATTGCACATGGGAAGCAAGTCCATAGTTAGCTAGGTTTCAGCAGTCTGGATACCTAAGGAGTTGCACTTTTTTCCATCTCTTGCTTATTTTTTCTCTTACAAGCACAGAAAAGTGTCAGGTCCTAAGCTTATGACTTCATTTCCCTATGTCCAGCCACTGATACACAGCAGCAGCACTCACCCCTTGGGCAGTCTCTAAATCTAGACTACTTTTGGAATCTGCTTTCCTTTCTCGTTCATGGCACTTCTGTGAACCTCCTTGTCTGAATCATGTTCTCAACGTCAATCCCATTTCTTTTGTGCTGGTTACAATCTTGAGTTGCCTCTTCAGTGTCATTATTACCTGCTGGGTTTTTATGCTTGCTGGTGAAACTCTAGCTAAGGTCTGAAATAATCTGAATTTCCTCATTAATGAGAAGTGTGAGTCACTTTCAGTTCAGCCCAGACTTTTCGGTTCTTTCACATATTGTGTCAAGACATAAGTCTCTGTAGTCTTTGAAGAGCAGACAAGGAACAGACTAGCATTAAATCAGAATTATGGATCAGAATTTATAGTAGCTTTTCAGTTCATAGAACCTGTTGGGTTTTTTCATGGTTTTTTGGGTGTGTTTGTGTTGTTTTGTTGGTTTTGAATAAGACTCAGTCACTGGGTCTGTGTGATGAGGATGGGTTCCTTGGGCTCTCTCTGAGTTTGATGGAGGTCAGAGAGGCTTTCCCCTGGGCGAGGGGGCTATGAAGTTAGAATTCTTCACTCAGCACCTCTACCCTTGCTTAGCTGGTGTTGTAAAAAGATGAAATGGTCTCAGCATTGAGTCACGATGATTTTGTCTTTTGTTTCTGTAAATATTGGCATCAGAAATCAAAGAAAATTCCATACCCCTTTAGTTTACATGGAGAATTCTGTACCAAAATTATAGATGCAGAAATTATCTACAGGTAAATGTGTGCTTCATTACAAGTGTGTGGTTTTGGGCTTAGCAAGGGAAGGTAAGATATCACAAAAACTGTGTACAGGAGGGTTTGTGTATTTGGAATTGGTAAGGCATTTGACTCTCCTTGTGGCATTTGTGGATATACTTTGAGAAGTGAACTGGGCCTTATTTCTTCATTCTGCTTCTAAAAATTTGAATTGTAACCCTATCAGTTGAGGCAACTGCAGAGCAGTGGAATAGGTTTACATCTAAATTACCAGTTAACATGGAGAGAAATTGAAGTTTGCTTTCCTCTTGCAGATAGCCAGACACTTCTCATAGGCAGATAGCTTTTGTATCCTCTGACTGTGCTTTCTCCTGTATATACTGAGCCTTTCTAAGAGCACTTACACTTGTTTGACTACCAGATTAGCTAAGAAATGATTGAAAACACATTTTAAAACTTTACCTTGGATATTATTCCTCTGTTGCTCTTCCAATGCTTTGCATGCTGACCTAGAAGATGGATTGTCCAAGATAATAGGTACTGTAATTTACTCTTCAGCTGGATTAATTATTTTCTCAGCTACCTGTCAGTTGTGCTTAGCCCTGGTAAATTAATCAAATGGCCATGTTACATAGGCCCTTCTCTGCTGTCAGATAGACTTTGCTTAGCTGCTCTCTTCAGGTGCAGATGTGCAGTGAAAAGGTTGGAAAATATCTAATAAGTAACACCCTTTTGTGGTGTTGCAAAGCAGACTTAAAGCAGCGTGTCTTACACTGTGCCATGGCAAGGGAATAGACAGGAAAAGTGGGCAGGGGAGCTGGGCAGGCTCTGGATACCCTGTGCAGGACACAGGTGGTTGTGGGCTTTTGCAGTAGCATTTGAGCAGTACCAGAGCAGCTTCTTCACCACACCTCTTGCTGCCTCTAATGGTTGGACTCCAGTACTAAGCAATGCTTTGCTGAGAGAAAGATATGAAAGAATCCCTTATATTTTCCTAGGGTGATGGCCAGAATTAACACTTCATTTTCAGGAACAGGTTTTAATTCTTTGCTTTCTAGAGCCTTTGAATATGTAGACTATTTTACGGATTTGCTATGCTAAATATACTCAGGCAGTAATGTATGTCTTACATTCACATGATGTGTGGACGCAGATCTGTTCTTGATGCTTGCTGATTTTATGCAGTCTCTCAGATGCTCTGATTATTTTATTTAAATGGTGAAAGAGGTCCTCATTTCTCAGTTTTTCTCACTTTTGATTCACAGAAAGTATCTTAGAGCATGGACACCAGTAAGAAGTCAGAACCCCCTTTATCTGTAGAAATGGTACAGCAGAGGGCCAATCCTGACCGCAGTCCATCAGCATCCATCTATGTTCCAGAGCAAGGTGGCTACAAAGAGAAATTTGTGAATGCCGTGGAAGATAAGTACAAATGTGAAAAATGTCACCTCATCTTATGCAATCCTAAACAGACTGAATGTGGACACAGATTCTGTGAAACCTGCATGAATGCCTTGCTGAGGTATGTTGTTTGTTCTGGTAGAGCGTGTTGATACCTTTAAATGTTGTGAACTACTGACATTATTGTGAACATCATTGCAACTTTAGGAATAGGTTGAACCTTCCACTGTTTCTTGCTTGAGTATTTGTTATCTGTGTGCTGGTGCAAACATTTGTGCTGTACTCTGGGTCAGGTAAGACAACTGAGCTTTCCAGCAATATTGTTGGAACAATTGTTAAGGTGGTGTAGTCCTGTGTAGCAATGTCTTAGGTAAGAATTTAATTCCCTGTGGAGGCCAAATGGAGTAGCTGTTTTGCAAGACTTCTAACTTGAGTAATGTGGTGTCATATACACACAGCAAATTGTCTGTGTGAGGAAGTGAGCTTGTACACATTCCTTGGGGTGGTGATGCCTAACCTGGCTATGGACCCAGCCTCAGAGATGAGTGCTGGGACGCTTGGATAAATGTGGCTGCTTGTGGAGCAGTTTCCCTGTAGCCCTTGCAGCTGTTTGTTATGGGACTTGTGTGTTCTGTGGATTGCAGGAGGGTCAGAAAGGCTGGCATCGCTATTACTGAGATGTTTGAGTGAAGAGGGTAAGTGAATGATATAGATGTAAAATGAATGCTGAGAGGTGCAATCTTTTCCCAGTCTAGATAAGAATAAAAGTGCAGTCATTCAGGGAGTATCTTGGTTTTAAGAGGTACCTGTGCATCAATAGATTTCTTTGCCTCTCAACTTTAGTGCATTTTTGCTGGTTGTATTCAGTAGCGTGATTGCAAAACTTTGTGTAATGTTTGGAGACCATTCAGCACACTTTAATCTCCTGGGGTGCATAAGCAGCAAATAGGTTCATTTATTACTGGAAAAGCAGAAATACAGAAGACACTTGGCTTGATGAATGTTGCATACTTGGGCTACTGTCAGAGAGATGATTTGACTTTGGAAGCCTTGGCAATCTGTTTACTTTCGGTGACCACTCTGACTCTAAATGTTGGTTTATATGTCACTTGGAAATACTGTAATCTGATATCTAATACTTGGATATCTAAGCCAAGACTACATGCATCATGGCAAAGGGGTATGGAAGCTATTACAATACTCAATCTCTTAATAAAGAGCAGTCTCTGTACTGGGCAAACACAAGGGTCCATAGCTCACTAACACTCTCCTGCAGGTTTTGTGCCTACAGCATTTCAAATTTAAAACAACAACAAAAAATCCCACCAACTTTTATTTTGATACACAGTGTTGAGTGAGGTGTGGGATTTAATAAATGCAGTAATTTCTTATTCAGTATTTGTTTTTGGACGACTCTTATGTGGTTAATAAAGTGACTGCAAAAAACCAAATACCTGCCATGCTTGGATGTGCACAGGTGGACAGAGCAGATCCTTGACAATCTAAGCAGTAACAATTCTGGCATTTCTAGGGTCTGGGCAATTTTCCTTTCCTGCTGTGAGACATGCACATCTGCTTATTACAGTGTAGCTAGAGTATGTGTAATTTTATCTTCCTGACTTCCCAACCAGTCTGTTACTGAAAAGGACATGTGCTTAAGGCCTTTGAGTTATTTCACTATAAATGCTTGTTGAAAATAAATATTTTATTAAAATAAAATTTACATCTCTCCCCCCCCTGCTTTTTAAAAAAAATAAAATAAAAAGTGTGCCATAAAATTGAAAATAAAATAGGTTTATGTTGGTCCTGTATTTGGCACATGCAGTGTTCATATGCTGCTGCATACACAAACACACTAATTATATGCTAGCAACTTCTGTTCCAGGGTTGTTTGAGGACAGGAATTGGGAGTTAGTGGAGGTAAAGCAGTAAAGATGTCTGCTCAGTATGCAAGAGTAGTTTGAAAAAGCAAGTTGGATGCTTGAGTGAATTCAGTAAGAGCAAGAAAAGCATGACATTGTATTAAACACTATATGCCCTGATGTAGTTCAGATTCCTTTTTTTTTCCTGACTTAAGAAAAGCATTACAGATACTGAAGCTTCAAGGTTCTTAAGATGCTCAGAAATATGGTGAGACACAAAATGGTTGGTTTGAAGAGGAGAAACCAGCAAGATGATTTGAAATAACCATACAGATTATATAACATAATTGAACCTTTTCAGCCTTTTACATTGATTTGCACTGCTGCTAGCAGCCACAGCTTACGTAGCCTGTCAGGGAGTTGCTTTATGAAAGAATTCATGCAGCTTTTACCTGGTGCTTTTTGTCTTGGTGCTTTACAAGAGAGATAATTTTGACTGTTCCCATTTTATGTGGGGAAAAACAGCTAAAAAGGAACGAAGTAGCCTGGTCTGGTGGAAGGTGTTCCTCTCCATGGCAGGGGAATGGAACCAGATGAGCTTTGCTCTCTTCCAGCCCAATCCATTTTATGATTCTGAGCGGTTTGCACTACAACACTTGGCAGGTCTGAGCCAGAAACAGCTCTAAAAACTCAGGTTTTCTGCACTCCAATTTCTCTTCACATTCTGCCCTGCTCCTGATTCTGCCTGTTCTCCAGGAGGTCACAAGTTTGGTGACTAGTTCACCAAGACAGATAAAAGGCAGTAGTTCATATAAAGGAGGCAGCAAGCATCTGTAACAGTTGCTAAAACCAGAACAGACTTGAAGGAGATGGATATAAATACTTTTTTAATGCATAACTGACTGTCAGAGAAAGTAAATTTTCATTAGGTATAGTTTGAAAAGCAATAATTGAAGAGACAATATTTTGCCTGTTTGCACAGATTGAGAAGTGACAACAGTCTTGGATCAGGTGCAGACTGAAAAATAGGGAACAAATTTTGCAGACTTGAAAGCCACTGTGCAGTTGTCTGGAGACATTGTGGTGGTCTTACTTCTTTGGGAATGCCAAATATTTCACACTGAAAACTCAAATGTTCAAATTTATTGAAATAATGTTGTATTTTCTCCTTGTAATGAACTATATTCATTTTTAGTGGTTTTAGAATATACTGAATAATCAAAACTAAGTGCCCGATGAGCTAAAATAGTTCTTTCTTTTCAGGTCTTCTAGTCCAAAATGTACAGCGTGTCAAGAAAGCATAGTAAAAGATAAGGTATTGTTAAAATTATTTCTTATTCAAGAGTATTCAACTGTGTGGAGTGCGCAAGTTGTGTTGCTGTTACGTGGTAATTATTTCATAAGCCTAATAAGCTGCCTAAAAAGGTAGGTTTGTCGAAAAACCTAAACCATGCATTTAATAGGTGGCTCATTTTTCCTGTTAACCTCATGGTAGAAAACATGTCAGCTTCATCCCAAAAAGCTCAGACAGATGTCACACCTTGTATTTGTAGTTGGGAGCTGCAGCAACACACTGCAGTTGTCCTCCCATCAACAAGAGGATGATAAGAAATACTCCATCTCCTGTAATGCAGGGATGTGACAGGTCTAGGTGAACACTGATTTGGCTCTAGACCACTGGCTGCTGTTTCACTCATCTCTTTTATAGTGTGGTATTCAGTGAATCCCACTGGGATTAGGACAGTGGGGAGTTACCGTAATGATAATGGAACCATCATTATCAACATGTATAAGTTATTTCAGTGATGCCTCTTCACTGTTTTTCACATCAGAACTTTATGCTGCCTTTGAAACGCTGAAGGTAGAAAAACTTCTTGGCTTAGTACATGGTTTATGTGGTTTTATATAATTTGTGCTAGTAGTCTTTCTTGCCTAAATGAGTATTTGTGTTTGAAACCATTTTCAAGAAAAGGTTGATGGATACTTTAATCTTTCCTTGTTTTAATCCGGAATAGTTCTCTGAACAGTGTTCAGCATAATTTGTTTTTGACATGGATGGACTCTTCACAAGCTCAGACCAATAGTCATGATGCCTAATTTATTTGTTCTTTCAACTCTTTCTGGCTCTCAAGATACATAAATATGTACATTTATTATGAAACTTCAAGTGTCTTTACAACAGGACAAGAAGGCCAATGTATATTAAATACCTGTTAGACTAGCTGTGCAAATCAGTGTTTTTCATGAAACTGGAAACCTCTCTTCCCACAGAGTGCTGAAGTCCTAAATCACAGAAATGCTTCTAGATAGTCTTTGCCAAACTTTAAAAGTCATCTTCTTACCTTGTCTTCAGTTAGCAAAAGTCTGCATACTAACCCTGTGAATTAACTTTGGAAGGGATACTGCAGCATAGCCAATTGATTATTTAAATGAGACTTGTTGATTCATTAAACTTCCCACACGCTTCTGAAAAGTAAAGAGAAATCAGTGACCTGTGTCAGATGAGATCAGATGAGAGAGATTGCAGATTGTTCCCCTCTGATACTGGGGACAGATTCATAGTCACTGTGGGCAGGTGGATCATAATTCTTGGTTAAGTGTTAGCATGCAGAACCATTCTATAATTACAGGAGTGCTGTAGCGTACACAGTATCACAGGAGTCTGTTTATCAGAGAAGAAGTCACAGGTTGGGCTTGGTTCTTAAGGTATTTCTTATTGGCTATTAAAGCAGTTGAAAAGCAATTAGAAGTTTATCTCTTTGGTTTTGGGCTTTAAAATAGCAGGAATGATTTTCAATTCTTGTCTCTCTCCAGTGCCTGCCCTTCATAATTTGTCTCCTTGAGAGTTCAGCTGTGTTGTCTCTTATGGGATATCTCCCATAAAAGGTGTAGAACTCAAACCCCAGCCTCTCTATTTGTAACTTCTTCCAGTTCTCTTGTGGAGAAAAAAAATGCTAAAAGTGCTTATAGACATTAAAACAGAGAGATAGTTAAAGTCTGCTTATTCGTGAAATAAAAAAACCTCCTTCCATCCAAAACCTTAAAAAATATCTGTAATTATGTGTTGCCACTGAAATGGAAGTAGGTATTCCAGCCAACCAGTCTAGTAATCCATCTATGAAACACTTCCCCTCCAAACTACTGTGCTTTGAGTCTCTTTTGTCTTACGGGATTGTGCCTAATTCAGCAGCTCCCCAAACAATGGAGAGTTCTAGCTTGTGCAGGCCTAATATTGGCAAGCAAATAGCAGCAAATTTGGTCCTTTCTTGTACCTTTCCTGTTATTGTATTTATAGTAAAACTGAAACAGTAGTAGAGGATCTGTCCAAATACACTTTCATTGAGCTGCTTCACAGTGGAGGGGCCTCAGTGTTGTGCACATTATAGAAAAACAGAATAGCAGGATTTTATTTCTGGCACATAAAGCTAGAATTGAATGACACTGCTGTAGCTGAATTGCATGGCTTCTACTTTATTTGAACTTGCATATCCTTGAGTGGTTTTCAGTTTCTAAAATAAAGTGATTTTTGATTTTTCAGGTATTTAAAGATAATTGTTGCAGGAGAGAACTACTTGCCCTTCAAATATACTGCAGAAATGAAAACAAGGGCTGTAAGGAACAGCTATCTTTGGGTCAATTACTGGTAAGCTAACCTAAAAGTTGCAAGCTTTCTTTTGAGTTAAAGAATGAAGAAAGCTTCTTACAAATTAAAATCACAGTTTCTTAACTTGCTCTCACTGGTGGCTAATGTGATTTATAACTGTTAAAATAGATATAAATTGTTTTGAAGCTCAGCATTTTTATGAACTGTAAGGAATTGTAAAAAATCATATGATTGTCTGGCACTAAAGCTTGGAAATAGAAATGGATGAACCAAATGAGAACTGGAAGGAAAAATAAAATAGTGAAGAATCTTAATGTGTACTTGACAAATGTGAGAAATTTGATTTCTATTTTGGTGTGTTTTTATTTATCTTAATCCCCTCACGTGGTGTTTATGCGTGAAATGGAACCTTTGGGTTCTCCAGAGCTGTGTAAAATAACCTCTAGCTGTTTTGGTGAAGGCATGAGATAAGCAGTAATTCAGTAATTCAGCAGCTGTATGAAATGGCTGCACAGCACTTTGCAGTAAGATGTGTAGATTGTTGCTTTGAGTGAGCAAGCTCATGTACCTAAACAAATTAAAGCAGCATCTATGTGTATGTGGAATAATACACCTTTAAAAGCAGTGCTTACCCTTTCTTTAAATAGCCTGTGGAGAATTTCGTGCTGCGTTAGAATGCTTTCAGTGTAGAAGTAGCTCATGTACATCTGTAATACAGTGAAATCAGGTGTCCAGGTAAAGGGACTGTACAGTCAGAAGTGTATTCCTGAGTAGATCTGTCAGTGTTTGCTCTTGTGTGATGCAGTTCACAAAATAACTCTCGTTACTTTGGTTCTGAAGTTATTTAATGTTGGATGTCTTCAAAGGGTGGAAGAGATGCATAAAACTTAATTGGATTGACTTTTTCTTTTATTTTTTAATCTTTCAGATGCATTTGAGAACTGATTGTCAGTTTGAAGAACTCCCATGTCCTCGTGCTGATTGCAAAGAAAAAATACTGAGAAAAGATCTGCCAGACCATGTAGAGAAGACCTGTAAATACCGGGAGACAACCTGTAAATACTGTAAAAGCCAAGTCCCAATGATTATGTTGCAGGTGCAGTATTTTCTTTTGTATATACATCAAGATTCCCTACATTAATGTGGAATAATACCAACTCTTCTTGTCTTTCTCTGTAACTGCCAAAAGAGCTTTGGTCTCTCAGCCAGAATTAATAGTTCAAAAAAGAAAAAAGGCTGACTTTCAAAACATGTCTTTTTCCTGCAAAAAAAAAAAAAAAACATTGAATAGGAAATATTTTCTTTATTCTGGTGTTCAGATACTGTGTTTTAAAAAGTTCAGATCCACTGCCTGCTGTTGACGCTGAAGTTAATTTTGCTATGCTTTTTAGATTTTTTTCCAATTTAGATTATAAAAGCAACCACCACAATAGCAATCAAATATTGTGCAAGAAAAGCATAAGCATTGCAATTGACTGGAAAAATAGCATCTTCTACATAACCCTTCTTGGGTGCTGTGTGATCTCTCCTGGGAGGAAGGGAAGAATGTAAAACCAATTGTGTCCTAGGAGAGGAAGACTGTAAAAGCAAATTATACCTTACCATAACCAGCAATGGTACATGACAGGCCAGAGATGAGTTACTGCTGTTCTTGGCATCAGAGAAGCTTCTGATCAAGTCTGATAGGCAGCATATTGAGGGTTAGAATTACAGAGCAGACGTTGAGAAAGTCACACATAAAATTTTAACTTGACTGTTTCACACTGAAAAATATTATGCTGAATCTATCTTGGTATGATTTTAACATTTTTTAAACAAATTCTGTCTACAAATTTTCTTGTAGTTTGATGGTGTTGGATCTCACACCTTCTTGCTATAGTAAGACTGATGAAAATTTTATTCTCATTTGTGTTCTTGTGTGTTGTTTGTTAGGTGAAGTATGACAACAATGAGAAGTGTTCTTTGCTTGGAGATGTTACAAAAAGGCATCTGTAGAAACTTGTCAAGTTCTGGTTTAGATTTGGCTCTCAGTTATTTGAGTGCACACTTGCAGGGGCTGGTAGTTCAATAACTGTGCCTTGCCCAGAATAAGGTGGCTGAGATATGAAAATACACAGAAAAAAATAAGTCTGCCCTTCATTTATTCTTGTACATTCTGATACAGAGGTGAAAGTGTATTTAGGTAGATTATGGATGATGTTCTCCCAGAATTATCATTAGGCTGGAGATTGGCAGGAGGCAGAAAATGATATTAAAAAACGTGTGGTGTCTTAACAGACAGAATCAGTGAGTTTTAAGTATGTTCTGCAGACTGGATTGGCTGATATTTTTGGGGCTTTTTCCTAGATTTTTAAAAGTTCAGTGGTTCTAGAAATGCAGATGAGCTTCTTTGTTGTGGCCTGATTAAAATGTTACTTTGCTATACTTCAGTAATGAGAATGAGAAGACTAATGACATGGTATTTTCGAATCTTAGGATCACAGAATGGTGTGGCTTGGAAGGGTCCTTAAAGATCATTCTTGTTCCAACCCTTCTGCTGTGGGCAGGGACACCTTCCACTTGACCAGGTTGCTCAAAAGCATATCCAACATGGCCTTGAATTCTTGCAGGGATTAAGCATTCATGATTTCTCTGGAAAATCTGTTCCAGTGCCTTGACACCCTCACAGTCTAGAACTTCCTAATATCTAATTTAAACCTGCTCTCTATCAGCTTAAAACCCTTCTTCTCCCCTGCCCCATCTCCACATGCCCATGTAAAAAGTCCCTCTCTGGCTTTCTGTAGGTCCCTTTAGGTACTGTAAGGCTTCTTTTGACTTCTCATTTGAATTTTGTCACCCCGTTGACAAAACTGTGTTTTTAGAGGTGAACTTGAGTTCATCTCTGGGTTCTGTAGCCTAGCATTTTCTCTAATGTAGTAATGGCTGAAGCTGGCCTCAGTGACTTGAACTGAAAATGGAGATAGGGGGAGCAGACTGAGAAAAAAGGTATGCAAATGGAAACAAAAAATTTTACTGGAGAGCATGTGGTTCATGTCTTCATAGAATCCCGTGACCCGTGGGGTAGGAAATCCCCGTTGTTGGAGGCAGACTCCAACAAGTTAACAATGTCATTAGAATGCTTTTTAAGATTGCATTTATCTTGCCTGCATGCTCACTCGGTGACTTAGCCTCTTAATGTCTTTTGTTCAAACCATCTAAAAGTTTAGGGTTTCTTTTTGTCAAAAACTTATCTTTTCTATCCTCTGCATCCTGACAGATAAAGATGGTGCATTGTTAAAATGGAAATTAGTAGTCTGAAATGCCTCTGGATTTTTCTGTGTATAGTCCCCAAAGCTACTTGGAAGTGCTTGTCCTGTAAAGTTGCTACTCAGCAGTAGTGTGACATGGATCTGGAAGGACAGCACTGCTTCATGCCTGGGCTCCTTCCTGAAACCCTGGCCATAAACCAGACCCTGCCAGGGCAACCTGGGCTCTGCACAGTGCTCTGAAATAGCTGAGCTGACTGGGACAGCACTAAGGAAGACCCCAGACATTGTTCCTTGCTCCCTGTCACTGCTCTAGAGCCAGATGTGTTCCTGATGTGGCAGTGGCTTTTCTGGGAGCTATGTTAATATCCTGCCCTGCCCTCATCTGGGCTGGGAGCCCTGCGTGGAGCATCACCTGTGGTTTGTACTGGATTTGGTGTTTGGCTTTATGTGCTCAACTGGGTGAATTTAGACTTGGAGGGGGAGAGAGTTCTGCCACTGGGGTTACTCTGGTATATCCTGAAGTCGCTGGAAAGGCTTGCCTTGGCTTCAGTGGGTGGACACTGGGACGTGGAGCAAGGAGGAAAACAGGAGAGAAGTTGCATGTTCCCTTTTTATCATGAACCAAGACTCAGTGTCATGGCCTTTGTCAGATGGTTTGGGTAGGTTAGGGAACAGGGTTAAGGAATTAAATTAGGGAATGAACATGAGAAGGAATTGTTACTTTTCCGGATTTGTAGTTGATAAATAACTGAGGAAGTGTGTGGGGCATGAGGCTCCTGTAGTCACATGGTTGTGTGTGATTCTCCCTTCAGCACGGTTCCAGATGTGTTCAGAAAGAGAGGCCCAGGTCCAGCTCCTGACTCTGAGCAGGAGTGGTGCTTTGGGACTCTGCTTGTCAGGAGAGCATCACTGTCACCCTGGCAGGTTGTTCTGAGCAGAGGCACTGCTCCTGGCTGGGGATGGACTGAAGATGGCTCAGGAGCTGTCCCAGCCCTCTGGCTAAGGAGCAGCTGAGGGTTCCCTGGTTCCTGTCACTGGGACTGTGCCACATCCCAAGTGAACGAGTGTGACTGGGGAGTGTGCAGGGTTAGATGGGTCAGGACAGCGTCTCATGGCCTGCTTTAAAAGGAGGAGATACACAGTTTCAGAGAGTGGCAGATTTATGCCAGAATTCTGATCAATGCCTTTCACATATTACAGATCAGATGTCCTTTGCATCTTGGTTTTGTTTCAAAAAAAAGACCTGGTTACTGGGCAAAAAGAGCATGCTATTTGCTCTTCCCTTTCTAACAGGGTTATAAATCTAGAGCTTTTTTTCCTTTGCTTTTCTTAAGTACCAGAAATGAAGCAGTGTGTTTCAAGTTGAATGGGACGTGTCACTTGACGGGAAACAGATTTTTCATGTTGTTGAGAAAACTGAGAGGAAATGTAAATTCTGTTATCTTGCCCTCACTGGGGTGCTAGGGTTTGACAGCTATGCTGAGATACCTGTCATCCGAGTTCAAATTAAAATCCCTACCCAGCATCGTATGTGTAACAGTGAGTCTTAGTTTCAGGTGCTTGGGAATCAAAATTAGAAAAGAATTGGAAGGGAATATCCGTATATAGGAAAGTGAATGTCTGAGGGTGGGCAGTGTACATTTCTGCTGAACTTTTCCATGCACTATATACCCTTACTAGAAAGGACATCAACAGTGCCTTCTCTTAAAGATGCCCAATTTTGTGAGCGACTGTTGGGGATTAAAACTTGACTTTGACTACTGTTTCATTGTTCAAAGTAAAACCAATAAAATGGTAAGCAAATAGATTTGCTTTGCATGGGAAAAGACAAGGAAACCCTTGGTTTTGCTTCAGAATACCAGCACCTGCATCAAAGTATAAACTGATGTTTGAGCAATTGCAGTTCTGTAACTGTGAAATTTGGAATAACATGGAAAAAATCTTGTGGGATTTTTAATTATTGTAGGATGCTTTTCTTTGCAGGTAAGTCCTCTCTTAATTAGAGAGTAAGATCTGATTTGTGGTTTGTTTGCTTTTTTCCTCTGTAGAAACATGAAGATACAGACTGCCCATGTGTCATGGTTTCATGTCCTCATAAATGTAGTGTTAAAACACTCATGAGGAGCGAGGTAAGAAGTCATGCCCAGTGTTGTGCTGAAAAATTAAATAATGTCTTTAGTAAGATCTCGCAAGAATTTTGCCAGAAGCCATTTCCTTGTTAAAATGTGAGATCTAAGGAAAAGCTTTTTCTACCACACAGTTAAGTGTGATAACACTCAAATAATTTTAATGATTTCTTGAAAAACTATTTAAAAAGAAAGAATTTCTTAATTTTGAGTCATTATTACACTTGGCTTGTCCAAGATTAGTGTATGTCCTTCCTGCTTTTGTTTTTACTAGCTCTCCCCCTGCCCTTCCCTCGTTTCAGCACCACAGAGCAGCATCTTGGGGTAGTTAGCTTATATTAAAAGAGAAATACAAAATTAAAATTCAGTGCTCATTGACAAGAGTTATTAAAGACTAAAAAATCATATAAATGTGTAATTTCAAGGAAAAATTTAAAATTAAATCTATTACGTTTTTTGTGAAAAATAGTAACTGATACTTAGAGAAATGGTGTAAGATTAAGGTTGAGTACAATATTCCATCAGTAGATGCAACAATGCATAAAAGTTATTTCTAATGTATAGAAGTTTCCAGTAATATGTAGATGAAAAAAAATTAAAGTGTGGCTTTGAAGAGATCCATGTTCTTGTACATGAAAAGATAAAAGTGGCATCTGTCAAAATTGAGGTACTTAATTTTTCCCTAAAAGTAGAACTTGCCAAGGATAGAGAAGAACTTACTGAAGTCTTCATCACTCAGTAAGCCTCTTTTAAGGAAAGTGAAGTTTCTGATCTGAGGATGAGCTTTTCTCTTTCCTCTGCTACTTCCCAAGCTGGATTAGTACCATTTTTCAGTTGCATTTGTAATTTATTAATTGTGGCAGAGTGCAGAAGGCACGTAAGACTCTTGCCAAAGTTTAATGCAGTCTTTCTGTCAAGATAATGAAATACAAAATATATGATAGATACTGTATTTATTAAGAGAAATTGAGCTGTTAAGAAAAGAGAAAATACATATACTGGCCAACTCTAAGAGTGCATACTGCCAAGATTAGATCCTGGTTCTGGAGCACTTTGGCTTAGTCTTAAACCCTGACTTCAGCAGTTACTTTCAGAAGAGATGTATCTGAGTGCTTGTAAGAGCTGCACCATTAAAGGCTGGGTTGTTACACACAGAGTCAGAGTGGAGTTTGAAACCATGGGTAGAAACAGAACTTTAAACAGCCCTTTGCCCTGCATCATCTGTTGCTGTATGTTGATTAATTTTTTTTTCTAATACTGTGAAAATGTATGTATTTCTTGGTTGCATGATTAGGGACAAGAAGTCTAATGCAGAAAACGGGAAAATGCCTGCCTAACAGTTTGAGAAAATTCTGTAGTGTACAAGTGGATATCTTACTGTAGAATAAAAGGCAATTTTCATGTTTAATTCATAACTCGTTGGCAGACTTCTGGTTTTGAGAAGTTGAAAAACGTGGTGTTCTTGTAAAACCTGTTAAACCACATGTCCCTTTCTTTCTTATTTTTTTTCTCCACTCCATGTCTTCTGAATTGATACTGTGAATTTCTTCAGGTAGTGTTTAGGACACAATAGCTGTGAATCAGAGATGAGTGACTGATGGCATCTCTGTATGAGATTTTAAAGTCTCTCTTGTCTGTTCCAGAGCTGCACATTCAAAGCAGTGTTGATTCACCACTTCTTTCCAGGGAGGTGGATGAGCTCAGTCACGTGGGGCTTAAGGTGTGGGAATTTCAAATGAGATTCTGCAACCCAAAGGTGGTGCCAGCTGAGAAGCCAGGCTCTGGCTCCTGTCTGCTTTGTGGGAAATACAAACTGCAGTCTCTGTTTTTGAAAAGAGAGTCTTTGTTAGGCTGTCCTTTCCAAAAAATGTCTCTCTGCTCCAACTTTTAGGCAGTTTGCATCCAGCTGCTGCCATCTGTGCTGCTGCTGTCCATATATATATATGTATATGCTTTTGTGAATTGGTTTATTTTTAAATGAAAAGTGGTCTGTTTACTTTTAAATGAAAAGTGGTCTGTGCTCGTAATTATCCAAGATATTGGACTAAATCTCAATCTGAAAAATGCAGGCATTTTACTAATCAGTTTTAATCCCGTGTACTGCATTTTTTTAAAGTTACTGAACTGTACCTATTCTAAAACTCTTTGTCTGTTTCATGCAGTACTTGTTTAGTCTTTTTTGTGTAATTTAACTGTTAAATTTAGGCACGGAGAATTGCATGTTATGTTTTGAAAAGTTGGTTCCTCGTGAAATTAGGATTAGAACAAAATGTATTTTATTACAGTGAAACTGATCTTAAGACTTGCTCAGAGCACCAGTAAAAAAAAAAATCACTTTTTGAGAAAAGATTAGTCATTCACTAAAGTCAAATGAAATCAAATAATTGTAGAGTATGTTCTTTCTGTTTGTTTCATTTTTTTTAAATTGGGTTGCCTATTGAAATAGTCTTTGGTACAAGTTTCACTGTATACTAAATGTATCACACTGTATACTGTATTGGCATGTGCGTGTGGTTTATATATGTGTATAAAGAGAATTAGTACTTGAGATCAGACTGGAGAAAATATACACATGTGTGCTGTATGTTCTGCAAATGGCACACAATACAAACCTGATAACCTCTGCCCTTTATGTTATCATGCAAAGGTCTTTTTGCCAAAACTCATGTTTCTTTCCTATTGCAGTTGAATGCACATTTGTCAGAATGTATTAATGCCCCAAGTACCTGTAGTTTTAAGCGTTATGGCTGCACTTTTCAGGTCAGTATATAACAATTATACTTCCCAATTGATGAAAGTCTGCAAATAGAAGCTAATTCATTGACATGAAAGTTCTGGACATCTCTAGTTTCAGTTAAGAAAATCATCCAGTTGCACCAAATGATTATACAGGAGATGTTTGCTTTTGCATTTTAAAAATAAACAAAATGAAAACCCCATACATTCCTGTAATGGTTTGGGAGTTCAGTTATTAGGTGTGTCTCGTTGAAATAGGAATATGACACATTTGAAAAACTTAGGATAAGAGGAAAGTCTCTTTAATTCTTTGGAAAATAGACTAGTTAACTTCAGTTGTTTCTATGAAAGCATTTTCTTGAACTAAGTATGTTTATATTTTCTCTCATTTGTGTGTTTTAATATTTTTAATTGAGGTTACACATAGGTTAGCACACTTAAAACATGTATTTTTATGTGCATTAATATATCTGTGTGCACATAGGTATATAATCAAAGCATGAAATTTATTTTTTTAAAAGAGGTTTATATTTTAATCCTGGCAATCCCTGCAATATTAAAAGAAATGAACTCAGACCTCAGAGTTTAGTTTTAGTAGTATTATTCAAGTTTCTTCCAATATTCTGCTTCCCTTACCATAAATCCTGGGGTATTTGGATGCTTATGTAATGAAAATATTAGTCAGGACATTTCAGAAACCACTGGGAGCAAACAATGGCATTTATCTAATAGAATGATTAATTTGTTAGCCCATGGCTATTTAAAGAGACAAGGACTCACAAAGGAGCAACACTTCTCAACAGTTGATGTCCTGCAGGTATTTCCAGGTTCTTAAATAATGAGCATTCATCTTTTTAAGTGTTAACAGTAATGCTCTTAGTGGTAGAACTGATGATTGCTGTAACCCTGCCCACTGTTATGTCGTACGTATTGCCATTCATTTTATGTATTTATATGTGTGCATATATGTACATATATCCACATATATATTTTTAGTATCTTTATATAGAGTACATACCTTGAGGATCATTGAAACCCTTTCAGTTGCTTTGCAGCACTCTATACCATCAAAGCCAACATACTCTGCATTGCAAAGCACTTACTGAAGTAGGCATAATGCAACACGATACAAAAGAAGTAATGTGGTCTGCATCTTATGTACTCTGTATATAATCTATGTGTGTTCTGTAAACTCTTTATATAGTGGTTATTTGTAACAGCACTTATAGGTTGTGCAGAGGCAGCAGATCTGAATATCCCAGAACAATCATGGTAACATCTTAAACATGACAAAACAGGCATTGTAATAATTCTCAGCATAGTTTATAAAGCTGGCAGTTTCCAGTGATGATAAAGTTATCCTTAATATTTGTCTTTAATATTCAGCTGAAGGAAAATGTAGTGCTTATGAAGCTGTTCATGAAATAGAACAGAAGTTTTAAATTACAGTTAGTGGAATTTGAGGTTTCAGATTTTATATGACTCAAGGGTTTTATTGTGCTTTGTTTAATTCTAAGCTGCACAAAGGACTCTAAAATACAATTCATTTTGTAAATCTTGTTCATCTTTACTGTTTCTGAGTTATCAAGCACACTGGATGGAGATACGTAGCAGTTGTATAAAACACTTGCTATATTAAATGTATTCCTGATTTTTGTAAGTTCCCCAGTAGATTTCCCTCCTCTCTACAGTTCTGCAACAAGCACCTGTGAACCAAAATATGTAGTGTTGGTTCGATGTCTTTATATACTCTTTCTTTGTAGGTTTAAAAGAAGTGGAATTGGCTAAAATGTATAAATTCTTTGTTGTCACAGGGAACAAACCAACAAATTAAAGCACATGAAGCCAGCTCAGCAGTGCAGCATGTTAACTTATTGAAAGAGTGGAGCAATGCTCTAGAAAATAAGGTATATCTTCTACTCACTTCTAATTTTCATTGACTTCTTTAAATTATATAAAAGTACTGGAAGAAGCGCTTTTTTCCTGTTTCACAGCTGTTCAACATTACAGCTAAAGCACTAGTAGGCTTCAAAAGCTATCAGGCCATTTAGCAGCTCTTTGTGCCTTTGTTATGTAATAAAATGCAGTGAGAAACTTGGCCTCGCAACTCCATGGACAATTTTCCTCATTGATAACTAAAAAACACTTTCTTCACATAAATAAACAGTCCAGTATTATATTTCCTCTCTGAGCTGCCTTCTTACAGAACAGAGAGTTCAGAAAGCCATGGCAACACTATGAGCTGTATCTTTACCACCTCATCTTTTTTCCTGACATTACTTCAAAAGTGTGTGATAAACTGGTTATGTATTTTATTTCTTTTTGTTCTTGCTCTCCAAACTTAAAGACCTGCACAGTTTAATTAAATTAAATATGCTGTAACTCATGGGCATGATGATGTCTGCTTTAGTGCTAGACCAGCATGCAGTTCATGTTGCAGTGTTTCCTTGGGACTCCAGGTTTTTAAGTTTTTGGGATTTGGGAGATGCTGGGAGTTGTATCAGCTATGATCTTGTGAATAAGCTTGAATGACTTTACCATGTGTTCTGTGAATAAAATCCAGGGCTTTGATTAAAAAAATACAAAACTTCAGAACAAATTACTGTTTTCTTAAATCCTTTTGAAAAAGTTTTACATAGACATCAGACTGATGTTTCTGTGTTTTTAGGGGGAAGAAGATTCCATAATTTCCAAAGTATTCTACAAATGCAGTCGCAAGAGTCAGGAGCCCCTTCAGACTTTTCTCAAATGAGTTCACAAGTAGCAATTCCAGTGTAAGCTCAGTGGCACTTAGGATGTGATTTCTGTCATCTCAGAGCTTGAAAGATCACAAGCTAGAGTTTAGCAAACTGTCTAGAAAGCACTTCCCTGTCTTGGCCTACAGACTTGGGTCTCCAGCAAGGTCATGCAGCTGCAGGAAGTGTCGTTTTAAAGCAGACATTAACTGGAACAGTGTAATATGTCTTGTGCCCCCAGCAGGTTTGTTCCCGAACTCCTTGGTTTTGAGCTTGAAGCCTCTTCAGCAAGCCATTGACCCTGGGTGAGGTCTAATACAGGGTTTTTTAGATAGAATTTTTTTACATGTGTAGGTAGGTCTTAGTTTGACGATCCATAGCATTACTTAAGTTTGCTTTTGCATGTGAAACTTTGTCAGTGGAGAAACTTTACATTTTTCGGTTTTGAGAGATACAGATTCATATCCTTAGTTCGTTTTTCATTAGTCTGATTAAAACTACACAATTTATTTCACATCACAGGAAAAAACCCACGTTCCCTGTAACTTGCAGAATAGATCATGTTCTGCCTTTTGTCAGTGTCCTGAGAGGTGCTTTGTCATTCAAAAAATGCCCAGCAGTTCTATGTTTGTCTCTTACAGACCTTAGAGACTACACGCTTCACTACTGTTTTATGTTCGACTTTCGTTTCAGTTTTCATTTAGGACATAACTGCTTATCATCGTATGTCCATTTTTTTTCTTTTTACTTCCTGCTTTGTAGACTTCTTCCTATTCATAATAAAGAGTTGAATCACTGGAAATCCCAAGCCAGTGCCAAGTTACCAGAATAGCTAACCACATGTCATATGTCAGTGACTTTATTCTAGGGAAGGGTTACAAAATGATTTGTAACTTCATTGCTGCGCCCTTCTTTGAGGAAAAAATTAATGAATGCACTGAAGAACAACAGTGCAAAGTCAACTTGGCTGATGGGTATCTCAGAAATCTTAGCCCTGCTGAAGTCAGTGGAAGTCTTCTTAGTTTGTATAGTGTCAAGATTTCATTTGGGATTCTCTCTGTGGTACATCTGCAGGGGAAAGGAGAAGTTGTCTTCTCCCAGTCACCACATTCTTTAACAGTGCATGTGGAGTAGGCAAACTGGAAATCTTCAGAGCTGCAAAGCTTATGCTAAGTTAGGAGTTTGGTATTGGTGGCAGAGAGTAGTAAGAGAAGGTCAGATGTAAAATCTTGAATCAGAACTTTGTGGGGGGAATTAGTGCTTTTTTTCCCCTCTGTGATGGTGTTCTGCAGACTGAACTCCCACAGTTTTGTAATGTTGGAAATAATCAGTTAAACGTAATTTTGTGGCTTCATCACATTCTTACAGAAAACTGGTATCAACTGTTTTTTTCTTTTTAATATAAGACTTAAATATGGGACCTGTTTGAATACAGTTTCTTGTGGCATAACGTTTTTTCCATTCTTTTTTAGTAAGCAACAATAAACAGCAGCTTAATTTGCAAAATTGCTGAATAAGAGCATGCTTTTTCCTAGGAATATTTCAAATATGCCAACTAAGTAAAGGAAGATTATGTAATTTGTAATTAGATGCTGTGTTTCCTTTACCCTTTTTTACACTAAAGTTCCAAAGACTTATGCGGAAACTATAGTTGGGAAACTATTTAGTGTTAATTTATTTTTTTTTTTTATTCACAAATCACAGCCAAACTACAGTTGCTGACCTAGCAATGACAGTTCTATATGATTAAGGACTGCAGGACATAATTCTACTTTTCTTGTATTCTGTAAAGCTACGTGGAAAATCTCAGTACAAGACAGGGCCACATTTTATAACTTACATAAAAATGGAAATGCAATGCTTAGTGACCCAGAGCATAACTGCCTTGTGATTGGGAGGCCTGGGGAGGAAACAGTGAGAAAAGGGAAATGCAAAGATCACAATTAAATAAAGAACTCTGATTCATTAAGGAAATGGAGGATGCAAACAAAATGAAGCTTCCACCCAGCAAATCTTAAATATCTGGGAGGCAGAGGTACTGGTTTAAATTTAAGCTTGTTCTTGAAAATTTTTTCTAGTACCTAGGCATGCATTCCTTCCGCCTCAATATTGCTTCTCTCTCTGCACTGACAAACTTGGCTTTGTCTCATTTCTGTTGAGTTTCTTTTGCTAGTTTTTCCATGTGTAAAGCAGAACCAACCTATGTGTGTATATGCACACATACTGTACTGCACCATATTGAAAAGTAGATACCCACACACACATTATTGTATCTCTGTATTTTTGGACTCCTGCCTAATGAACTTGCTGAATGCCTGTGGGCTTTGGCAGTCCTTTGTCTAGTTTGGGCTGGTTCAGAGATTTGAGATTAATTACCTTGTCAAACAGACTGGGTTCTGCTAGGAATGCAGTGACACATAAGGGATTTGGTGATGGTGTCTGATTGGAGGGCAGTTAGGGGGATGCGGTACAGCAGTGGCACCCACATCAGAGGTGAAGATGGCTTAACCTCAAACTAGTACCTGTAATAGAGGCCAGGGAGAATTTTTTTGACATCCAAGTAATTGGTCTTGATGTGAAACATTTATCAAGAATTTTTTGGGTCTGAAATGGTGCTGCATCATAGCCGTATAAAGATCTATCTGTGGAATAGTCAGGGCATGTCCAAACATCATCTTGTGCCAAGTATTTGTTTTCTACGTTTTTGCTGCTGAATGATCTTGCCTGGGGAAAAACTACATTTCTCAATAAAGTAATGCACCACCACCAAGCAGCCCCCTTCTCCAAAGCACATTAATGAACAAGCACTAAGCAGTGTGACAGAAAATATTTACTGTATTACTTTCCTCCCCAAGGAGATATATAATAAGGTATTCTTTTAACAAGTCTCATGTTTTAAAAACAGAATGAGTCACTAATGAATAAATTCATAAAATGTCAGTTCAGAGAGAGAATAGAATTCACAGCCTGTAGTTCTTTGGTCTTTTCTACTAGTAGGCACCATTGGATTGTCCTTCAAATGCATGGATCCCTTCTGTATTCACTCATTTCAAGAATTGTCATTGCCATCACATTCTTTTAAGTCAAATCAATCCCATGCAGATGTTTTTCCTTAAATTTCCTATAGATCAGGACAGATTGGCATAGGTGAAGAAGATTACAATTCCCTGATCCAGCCAGCTCAGTTTGTCTCTGGTGTACCTTCTGTGCAGGGCTCGAGTTCTTAATGCCAATTTAGAAGTTAGAATTAGGTTGTTCCAAACTCCAAGCAACTCCCAAGTCAGTTGGTGGAAACCAGGAAACCAAACCATTAAACAAGAAGTGAATAAAGAAAATGTTACATTTAGACACAAATTCTTTGCTGGGTTTCTGTCCCATCTGCATTTTCTTAAGCCAAAGTTGTACCAATGCTATACATTGGAAGTGCAAAAATAGCTATCAGAAGGTTGGGGTTTATTTATTTGTTTGTTTGTTTGTTTATTTGCCAGACATGGAGAGAGATTTTATGAGGATCTTATCCCTTTCATGTGCTTAAGATAGTTTTAAACTAACAAAGTTATAAGTATTTTAATAAACTTTGGCAGGAGTAATTGTAGAATTTTTTCCAGGTGGCCTTGCTCCAGAATGAAAGTTTGGAAAAGAACAAGAGTATACAAACTTTACATAATCAGATTTGTAGCTTTGAAATAGAAATTGAAAGACAGAAGGAAATGCTGCGGAATAATGAATCTAAAATACTTCATTTACAGGTAAGAAATATAGAATCTCCCCATTAAAGCAGAAATGGTAGTAGCTTCTGTTCTGTGCCTTTATACTTGTGAAGTAAGGTGGTCTAGTTAAAAAGTGGGGGGGAGATATTTTACATTGCTAGAGAGCCATTCTGTTGTTTTTTTTCTTCTGGTTTGTTGTGTTTAACTGGGTAAGATACTTCACTAAAACACTAGGTAATTGCCTAGCCCATGTTAAAACAAAAAAAAACCCCAAACTCTTTAAAAAGGGTAAAGGTGGAAAACAAAATTGAAATATTAAATGAAGAATAATCATACCTTTTTTTTTTACTTGGAAAAAAACTACTTAAGGCAGTCCTGCTGAAGGGCAAGGTTAGCACCTTAAAATTGTCAAGTATTATGTATATTTCTTTTTTACTTGCTGGTATTAAAAAATATATATGAATCATGAGTGAGATCAGTCTGGTGTGGATTTAATTCAAACATAGCATAATGCATTGAATACACTTTTTGAAATTCCACATTTCTGTTGTCCTTCTGAGGAAAATTTTATCTAGTTATTCCTTTGCTCGTAGGTCTGAGTTTCATGTTCTGTGTTTCGAATGCCTGGCCACAAGCCAGCATGAAACTAGAAATCCTCTGGATGCCCTGGCATGGTGGTTATCCCAGGCTGAAATTCCTTGCTCTGTATTCACAGCTGTCTTGGAATGTGGGAATTTGTATTAGCTTGCATGATAGTAACCACAGTTAGAGAAGCCTCAGGAGATATTTAGCAAGCAGTTGTGGACATACCATTTACACATTAATGTAGTATGTCTGGTGCTGGAATATCAGATACCTGTTGTAGCATCCACCTTAAAGGAATGTAAATAAAATTATCTTTTTCACTCACTATTCACTTCACATATAAACTGCAAATGTTGATAAGAAAGATAACGATATCCAAACCAGTGTGTGGCTAAAATTCAAAGGGTGGCGCATTCAGGAGTTCAGAGCCTGGAGACCCTTGATGATGGTTTATAAGGAAACCTTCAAGTTTGGCAACTGCAGCATTTTTCCTTATAGCAGTAATTTCTTTCCATGGCCTGCCCACTTAGTAACCAGCTCAGCCTGCCTTAGTCATTGTTACTTGTCTGATGATAGTCTGGGATATGGCTGCCTGCTTGCAATATTGCATTCTGACACTGGGGAGCTAATCCTTGTGTGTACTGATACTGCTGATTGAATCTACCAGGAGGTAAGTTAATTTGTAAGCCTGGAGTTCTTACACATGCTGTCTCAATGGCCAGCAATGAGAGTGGAAATGGAAAAACCACAGAGCAGAGTTTTTCATTATTGTCTTAAATGACAGACTGCAATATCTTTTTCCTCGAGCTGTAAGTGTTAGCAAAATCAATTTTCAAATGGATGGTTTAGGAAAAAAGAAAACCCCAAACCACTACAAAGCAGCAGATTCCAACAGGTGGCTTTGTGGTGGTAATAAGCACTGGAGAAAATGTTTTGCTCTTTTTTTCTTTTTCTTCCTTTTTTTTTTCCTCTTCTTTTTTTATTTTTTTTTCCTCCTACTCTTTAGTTCCTCTTGCCAGTTATTTCAATTTAGTTATTTCAAGCCAAACTGTACTTCAAAGATATTTCCACCTGATTCCTTCCACTTAGCAGAATTTCCTGGTTCAGTCTGATTAGTAAGGGTATCCTGGAAACACACCTCCATTTATTTTTTCCTGGACAACTTGATCAGCCTCCTTCTGTTGCCCAGCAGGAGTGGAAGGAATGAGTTACCTTCTGTGAGCCGTTCTTTGCTGGCTTGTGTTGAGCAGCCGTGGTTCCACAGTGTAGCCACAGATACTGCACTAAGCAGTTCAGGTCTGGGCAAGGTGTGTTTGCTTAGTCCTCCAAGAGCTACAAATGCTACTGGTGTCCAGTACAGTCCCAGTATTGGCTGCCAGGTGACATTTTTTGGCTGGGGAGTGGCAGCAGCGTCACTGAGCATCATCTCTCTCTGAGGAGTCTGATACAACCGCTGTAAATGCATCAAGGGATTCTGGGCACTGGCAGGAACCTCAGCCTAGAGAGGTTTTGTTTTCAGATGAGTTTTCTACATATTAGTCTCTAGGGATAAAGTGTTTTTACTGAGGGGGTGTGATACTCTTTTTGGCTGCTGTCAGAACTTTCACATGTAGTGTCCAGTCTTTCATATGGAAATGGAAGCATGTGAGTAAGCCCATTGTAAAGGGACTGGGGACGTGAGGTACTGAGGGACAAAAGAAACAGTGGCCTACAGGAACATAAAATGATTTGATGAGTAATATGTTCCTTCAGAGGAGAAGGACACATGATTTCTTTTCCAAGTCAAGCAGTACCTTTTCTAGTCTGTTCTTCAGCTTTTCAGTTTCGCCCTATCAGTTGCAATGGAAAGGTCATTACAGCTCTTCAATTCCCCATGACATTTTCTGAAATTCTTTCAGCAAGTATAGTGCTAAAATTATGGAAGTTGTTAGAAATACTAAACAAAACCCTATATATGAAGATCAACATCAAAAGGAGCTCACAATGGTTTGCCAAGCACATAACTAGGGATTAATGATCCAGAGAGGTCATTGCTAGAGCGAAAAGTGCATGCAGAAAATTGATATCTACTTGAAAATTTATGAGTACAGTGTGAGACATCTGTGTGCTTTCTGATGGAATAATTAGAGTGAAAATCTCCACTGCTGCATTAAATTCAGATTTAGTACATCAGTATCTCCCAGCAGGAGGGAGGTTGAATCCCTGTAGGGTAAAAAGATAGAGATCCCACTGCTTTTTAAAAATTAAATAGAAGACTTATTTCTGATTATTTTATACCTCTTGAATTCTCATGTCAAGGTACAGTAGATAAAAATGATACACATTTGCCAATGTGAAGCAGAAACAGCTAAACCAGAATTAGTTATGCATGTCCAAAGGTGGAATGTTGCACAGGTTGATGGAGAGAAGTGGGTCCCTAATAACAGCTTTGGGTAAACTTCTCCCAAGAGAACGGCTTACAATTCTTCTGCATGTTTAACACCTCCCCAGTTAATGTAAAAATGTGATAATTTATTTTGTTTGATGCTGTGTTAACCCAAAGGAGGTGCAAGCTGTGAGGCACTGTGCAAACGCCAGCCATGTTACTGTTCCTGCCTTGAAGAGTTCATGTTTGGTATGAGTAAAGGAAAAATATCAGACTTGGGCATATTTTGAGTTACTTTTGCACATTAACTGTGAACTAGTGGCCAAATCCTTTGGCTCTGCTCTCACAACATGCATTCAGGCCATGCTGGGGTATGTTTCCATAGCTATATAGATATAGATATATAGATATATATATATATATGGCTAACAGCCCTTCCCTGCTCTATTGTCTGATTACCATCAGCCCAAGTGAGGGGCTGTGACTGTGTTGGTAGGTGGTGTTTTGTAAGTCCAGGAAAGCTGCTTCATTTATTTACTGGGCCCATACCCCTGGCATTTATGATGCAGTGCACAGCTTTCCTTCACAAAGCACCAATTCTGGAAATGAGAGATACATAACTTGTTTTAAAACATGAACATAGAAATAACTAGTTAATCTTGAAATACGTTACATTGCTCAGTGGTTTTGAGACAAAAAATAAGATTTTGCTAGCTGGCTCATCAAATTGACAACCTTCAATTAATGGTTACAGACTTTGAGTATAACTGAAACCACGTTATTAAAAGCAAATGGCTCAAAGGGGCAGTGGAGGTTATATGAGGCAGAAGGGTTTTCCCCATCAGTGGGGAACACTGAATCCACATGGCCAACCAGAAGGCAAATGCAAAATAAATTTTATTTTATTGTTTTGTGCTCAACTGCCACTTTGTTTTTGTGAAGAAATGAAAAATCATGTTTACATTTGTTGGCTCTATGTGATGATAAACTATAAAGCTATAAAGTTAGATTCGGAATTTAACTGTAGGTGGTAGCAAAAGTAGTTTCTTCTCTCAGATATTTTTGTTATCATTTGAACTTCACAACTGATTATAGGGTTCTGGCTAAAATTCCTGCTAGTCCAAATTAGCTGTGATAATGTGAAGTGCTGTGTATTTTTTGCATCAGATTTGAGGTAGACTGAAAATATGTTCTTGATATTCGTAATGTACTAAGGTGCTTGCAATGTCCCTCTTTCAGAGAATACTGGCCTTTCTGTCTATTTCTTTCTGGAGTGTTGTATTTCATGCCTTTCCAAAACCAGCTGGGCTATATTTTCCTTTTTCTTAAAAAGACTCATCAGAAAATACCTTCAAAATGCGTGGGTTGTTGAGTTTAGGAAGTAAGAGTGGGAATTTTAAAGGTACTTAAGGGGACAGATGTGGTCATTTTGCTTACATTCTTGAGGGCTTCTGATACAGTTATGGGCACATCATAACTCAGGCTTTGATGATTGATTTAAGTGAGCTGGGAGCTTGCACATGTGTGTACTTGTGTTCCATGTGTGCAAGAATAATGGTGTTTTCCTGGAGGCTAAGTTTTTTTGCTGTAAACCAATATAAACCTATGCACATGGGCAGCCATCTGATCCACACCACAGGAAGTTGTGCCCATATTTTGTTGCTGCAGTACTGTTACATGAAAGCAAACAAGTATCAGCCCATAATACCAATATGGAGACATTCAGAAAATTGTTCTTACATTGAAAGGTTTTAAAAAAAAAAAAAATTAAAAAAACCTTAGACAATGGTTACACACTAACAAGTCCCTTTTTTAAAATAAAGCTATTGCTAATTCTGATAGTGCTCTACCTTTGCAGTACTAAATATTTTGTGTTTCATAAATACCTGGGCTATTCTTTTAAATTTTCAAGGTTTGTGTTATTAAAATACAATAGACATAAGCAAAACTTGTTTATATTGGAATTCAGTGTTATTACTAACAGATAATTAAGTCTTTGTTTAATTTTCATAAATGAATGTCTTTGTGTTATTTTAACTCATATGCTATTATTTTATAAAGCGAGTAATAGACAGTCAAGCAGAGAAACTGAAAGAACTGGACAAAGAAATCCGTCCCTTCCGACAGAACTGGGAGGAGGCTGACAGCATGAAGAGCAGTGTGGAATCCCTCCAGAACAGAGTGACTGAGCTGGAAAGTGTTGATAAAACTGCAGGGCAAGGAGCTCGGAATACAAGTGAGTGTGAGCACAATGGGCTGAGGTGCTGTTGAGAGGAAAACAGTGTCCCTTGAGTGGCACTCCCATTGTGACTTTTATATGGAAACATCAATAATGATTCTTCTGATTTTTGAGTAGGAGATTGTGCATTTCATTTGTTGATGATGTGGCATTGCTTCTGTGCTTTTTCTTAGTCTTGATTCTTGTCTTCTACTTTGTTTTATTGACTCTTGTCTTGACTGTATTGTTAGCTCATTAAAAACAGTTTCTCAATTGATCTTTGATAGCTAATAGCTTTCAGCAACTTCTTTAAATCTAGTCTTGGTATATTGACATTTTCTACTATTCTTCTCCCCTGTGAATGGATCAGAACGGTTTTCCACCTGAAAACACCCATCCTGGTTCTGTTAGACAGGTGTAGACATCCTAAGAAAACTGAAATCTGCTTAAGAATAAGGTCGTTGTGCTTCTGTGTAAAGACTGGAATTCAGCAGGACAGTGTAGATCATATGCAAGTGTTTAAATGATTATGACAAAGAACATTTAAATAGTCCTATATAAGATAAACCTACCTTATGAATTCATCTGCTGCTCAGTACTGCGTGTTGGCCAATTTTGCCAGTAAGAAAACAAAAGAGTAACATGAGAAGGAAAGGGGGCACAGAAAACATAGTCCTCCCTCCAAACTAAATAAATGACCATATAATACGGGTCTAAGCTTGAATTTTTTGGCTTTTTTTATGAAGAACTTAAGACATTGTAACAGCACTGTACTTCTGAGACAAATAGTATCTAAAAAGAATGTTTTGAATTATCAGGAATGCTTCTGAATTTCAGAGGGATTACATAGGTTGTAATAGGAGGCTTCCAAGGTCTTACCTGCTAAATAGCAATCTGCAGCATTGCTACCAGATCTGCTTTTAAAAAATGGAAGCCTCTAGTTATACTGTTTAGTGACCAGGAAAAATCTGTTAAATGGTTTGAATATTTGACTTTTACTGCACGTTTGATTAACATCCACGTTTGTAAAAATCCCAGCTAACCTAGATACCAGCCAGCAAATTAGAGCCTGTAGAAATTGCTTCATCAGTGGCCAAATGCACTTTGGTTGTCGAGGAGGAAAGTGTTTTCATACACAGCACTGGTGATTGATTTTTACGGTCTTTAGTAAAAAGCAGGATTTCTCACCCCTATCCTTTCTGTTTCTGCCAGGCCTGCTAGAGACCCAGCTGAGCAGGCACGATCAGATGCTGAGCGTTCACGACATTCGGCTGGCTGACATGGACCTCCGCTTCCAGGTTCTAGAAACTGCAAGTTACAACGGAGTGCTGATTTGGAAAATCCGAGATTATAAACGGCGGAAGCAAGAAGCAGTCATGGGGAAGACTCTGTCCTTGTACAGCCAACCCTTTTATACCGGATACTTTGGCTACAAGATGTGTGCCAGAGTTTACCTGAACGGAGACGGCATGGGAAAGGGGACGCACTTGTCTCTGTTTTTTGTCATAATGCGTGGAGAATACGATGCTTTGCTTCCTTGGCCCTTCAAACAGAAAGTGACTCTCATGCTCATGGATCAGGGACCGTCTCGACGTCACTTGGGAGATGCTTTCAAGCCAGATCCAAACAGCAGCAGTTTCAAGAAGCCAACTGGAGAAATGAACATTGCGTCTGGCTGCCCAGTCTTTGTGGCTCAAACTGTTCTAGAGAATGGAACGTATATTAAAGATGATACTATTTTTATTAAAGTCATAGTGGATACATCGGATCTACCAGACCCCTGACATACACTGGGGGAGGCGGATTAAACAGAAGGCAACTCCGTTTGGGGGTTTTATATCAGTTTGTCTTCAATCAGAGGTCCTAAAGCTCACAGAACCACCTTGTGGAACAGATGGAAGAGTTTGAAGGCATAACTGCGTAGGGTCCAATTGCGAAAGTAGCAACACATTAAGAAATCATACCATGGTATATTTTTTAATAGAACTAGCAACACTTGAGCTCTGAAGAATCACTTATCCTTCATCAGGGAAGTGATTATGGTCAGAGAGGATTTTTTTAACTTATTAATGATCTAGTCAATTGGAGGTGAAAAGACATATACAGTATGTGCTGAATCAATTACTGACTTTTTTTTCTCTTAAGCTAGAATACAAGAAAAACCCTTCACATGTGGGCTAGCTGGAAATTGTCAGCATGTTAAAAGAAGATGAAGTAATGTTACAATTATGATATTCTTTGAAAAACTGAGGTGCAATCTTGTCTGAAATATAGTATATTGTCTTTTTAAGGCCTCATCTGGTCTCTGTTTTAATAATTACTTTGTCAGAAGATCTTGGAAAAGTATCCATGTCTTCTCAAAAGTATCTGAATCAAAATCATATTTTTATTTAAAGTTCTATTGTTACAAAAAACATTTTATTTTAAAACTGTTGATAGACTGATATTTCTTGGAAGAAAAAAATAGAAGATATCAAACACTGGTTATCACTTGTGATAGGAAAAAAAAACTATTCAATTCTGTTATTTCTCTTTAGAAATGTAAACCTACAATATATGTCGTAGTTAATGACACTATTTCAAAATTAAGGAAAAAATCACTCATGGATGCTGTGCATCATTATCAGATTTATAATTGTTTTCACCCTAAAATAGGGCATTTGTTGAACTTTGGAGTTCTAAACGGAATCCTGTACATTTTTTAAAGTTCTGCCCCATGCTTTCCAATCAAGCTATATATGTTGCACATTATGCTGTCAGCAGTATATAGTATTTTCAGTATTGGGGAGGAGGATTAGTGCTGAAAAAAGCCTCTATGTTTGTTCTGTACTAGCAGCCATTGCTTCAAGACAAACCAGCAATGTCCTAATACAGTGATGGTGGCTTGCATGCATACATGTGCCTTAGATGTGCTGTGCTGCTTATAAACCATAGCTTTTTATTCAGATTAATTCTGATATCTGAAATGGTAGTTTAATTGGACTTCAGGCATAATGTTTAGCCTTGTCTTCAGAGCCCTTAGGTACCTTGCAATGTATGAAACAGAAGCCAGAGCCCACTCCTTTGGCTTCTGCAGCTTCTATGACTTGGCCATGGTGGAATCCATCCTACTGAGGTGCCAAAACGTTATGCTCAGTGCTCCTATGGAGCTTGGACTAGACAGACTCCATGGCCACTGTGAAGGCAGGTGACATTTTTCCTCTAATGCCTGTGGCTGTAAGGTGGCATCACTTGAAACGAATCCATCTGAGAACTCTGGGGCTGTGAATATGGATGCTCGTGGCAGCTTCTCATAGCAGACAAGCATCCTAATGGGGAATGCATGGGCTTCTTTCTTGTAGCAGCCTGAACTGCAGTGGAAAGCATTTGCTAGCCCTGAAACATGCTGACTGCAACCTGCTGTGTTCATCTGCTTCTATTTAATAGCCTGTGACAAGCAAGTCCAGAGACACAGCCTGACTGTGGTGCTCTTTAAAATCCTGCTTAAGCAGAGTGGGCTTGCACCACTGTGTTTTCAGCCTTCATGGGCTTGAAAAAAACTATTGCATCTCAGCCTTTTATGTCAGGCTGTATCAGTTTTCTGCTTTTTCGAGGCATAGTCACAATTTTTGTCTAAGGTGCAGTTGAATTCATGCCTTTGTATTTCAGCTTGTCTTTGCCGTTGTCTTTTTTGGCTGTGCCTTCACACACAGTGCCTGCAAGAAGTATTTATGGATATACAATGCATGCTAAGTGGTCTTCATGGGTTTTCCAGGCACCTGCTAGAATACTGCCTGCTGCTGACTGTCCTGACCGTCGGCAGCAACTTGTCTTCCTTTTCTTGCCTTCCATTGTCCGGGTACTGTACTCCCTCTATGGTACGTGGCTGTCAACAGGTGCAAGCTCAAATGTGGAGGCACCTGCTAGCATTTAATTTCTAGCACGGAAGGAGGATGTTCTGCACAAGAGATAAATATCTATAGATATACCTGCATCTATATCTCTAGATATAATTGTATGGCACTTGCAGTTTTATGCAGGCTGCATAAGTAAACCCATCACTTACGCTTTAGGGCGAAGGTTCGCTCGACTTGTGTCATTTTAATAATTGTGAATGTAGGCAGCTGAGCTTTTGTGTTTGTGCATCACAGAATTTTACTGAAAACAGGATTCCCAAGTGGAAATGTCCAAAGGACTCTCCTCCCATTGCTAATGCATGTCTTGTAAAATTAAATGAAACCGTTTGGCCATCTCAAAACAGTTTATATCCTGTTTCAATCTGGGACTTGGAGGAGATTTCTAGTATAAGCAGGGCCCAGCATATTCTGCAGATTTGTGACTACAGTTTCCAACTTCTGTGACAGAATTGCGCTTCTAAATCCAAGCTCTTTAAAAAGAGGAAGAATAAAAGCATTTCCAGCCTTGGTGATTGAAAGAGGACTTTGAAACATGCGAATGTGTAAACCAATAGGGAAGTCTTCCTGAGTCTGCACACAGCCTAAACTAGTAGCTTTAAGAGATCTGAATATCTCGTCTTGGTGGGATATTGACTCAGAAACTTCACAGAGAAGTTTAAATATGAACACTGCTAACTATCTAAATGCCGATCACTGTAGCAGAAACATCAGTCACTGTTGTATTTCACAGATCTCTATGCTGCTTTCCACATCTCCCAAGTGCCAAAAAGCACCAGCTGCCAGAATCTTCAGCTTCACTTGGGCAGCTTTTATAATGCAGTAATGTGCTATCGATATAAAAATATTTTTGCATATGTGCTTTTTATCACAGTTAATAAAATGGAGGCCTACTGCACTTATTTTTTAAAACTACATGAAGCTGCCAGAGAATTTCCAGTTTGCCAACCCTGCGTACTGTGAAATCCAGGATCTTGCTACACAAATTAGACACCGCCTGCTGTGGAATACCTGAAGCCTTGACTGTAACACCCCTTTCTCCGCAGAACTCACAGGCCATCTCTGTAGAGTTCTTACTGTGTACATAGAAATCGGTTTCCTCTGCTTTCCAGCAAGGAGTATGTAGCATTTTGTGAAAACAAGGCCACTGTATATTCTCTAAGTTGAAAGGAAAAGATACCTGGTGCTTTACTCAACACTTTTAAGTTATTTAACTGTTTCTCTCATCGCTGAAATGCCCTTTATCCTTTTTCTCTTTGTTCCTGACTGAGGTATCCAAAGTTTTCTAGGGCCTGTCTGTTTAAAGTGATTGGTGGGACAGCACCCTACCCCCAAGGTATACTCTTGAATCCCGGCAAACTCCTGGGGGCTGCCACTATTGCAAGGGAGTCCCAGAGTATTTGTGTTACTTTGAACAGAGTTTGTTCAGTGCAACCATATTGTCCTCTACTTAGTAATTCTTAGCAGCACACGACTGAAGTCTCTTGCTGGTGTTCTTTCTTCACGGTGACGCTCCAAGTTCTGTACAAACCTCTCCTGTTTCCAGCTTCCTCTAGGGAGATTCCAGTGTGTGACAATCTGGATGTTGCCCTTTGCGTGCACTCTTCAGCACAGAGTGATGAGTGCACCTGTTACCTAGTCTTGAATCCTAAACAGGATGAAACCTTTTGGGTGTTTAAAGACCAACCTGCAATTATGATGCATGACCATGTCTGTATTGCTTCTCTGAGCTAATTAACTGGGGTCTTGTTTCAGTTACTGTCTACACGGTACACCTTCAACTGCTGACTTACAATATGCAATGTTGATTTCAGCCTTGTACTGTAATTGTTGTTCTTCACAAAGAGAATGTGCAATAGGAAAAGGGAGTGGTGGGTGGCATACTTTTGATGGAAAAAACACGCTAGATTTTTAAAAATACGGAAAAAAAAAAAGAAATGCAGTTTATTTCCTTTTCTCATGGTGGTTTCTACTTGGAAAAGGAAAGATGAAGATATGTGCCTGTTTCTATGCCTGGTGAATTTCTCAAATGCAAAGGTAATAGAGATTTGTGTTAGCTGGGATTTAACTGTTGAACCCACGAATGTTAGGTTGTGATTGTATCGCTTCTGTTTCCTCAGCTTGCCATGATTATGGCTCACGGAGGTGGAGTTTAAAAGCTACCACCTATTTGTATCTGTATTCCATCACCTGGGATAGGCATTTCACCCAACAGTGCAGGGTATCTGTTGATATTTTGTCTAGTTTTTAAAACTCTGGTGCTCTTTGGTCCAAGACAGAGAAGCGTGTAGGGAGTGACAAGGAAAGTTGCCTGCACTGCAGAAGAGTGAAAAATGTGACTGTAGTATTGATGCCTTTGATATGATTTAACTATGCAAATATACAAATAGGTGAGGGGGGGAATTCTTGGGTTGCATACCTAATCTCTTAGATTTTGCTCTGTAAATTTCTTGTATGTGTGTAGGTACATACATATACACACAGACATGCATGCACATAAATATGCAAAGTCTTTTCTTTATGTAGAAGTGATGAAACAAAACCCTTTCCTCCAAGTTATACTTGATCAATTGGTGCAAATATAACTTGCTGCTGCTAAGGGAGGATCTTGGCTAAGGGCAAACTTTGGTTCATATCTTTCAGGTTTGAACACCTGTATGTAGCAAACACTTGGTTCAGCTTTTCTGAAGACTTTGAATTGTAATTTAGGACACATGTTCTTCCTCATGCTCTGATAATTTGGAGATTCCTGTATATTGAACAACTGCAGTGATGGGCAACTTTTTAATTGCAAATTATTTCCTCTGCATTGGAACAAAAAATGGTAAAAAGCATCTGGACCTCTTCCCTGGAATTCCTGTCCTGTTCAGTCAATACCTTGAACTTCTGGTTGAGCTAGAAGTCAAAGCCACTGCAATAAAAATGATTGGTTTAACAGTTTAATCTGAGAATAGTTTTTAATACTGTGTACAGTGTATAGCAAGTGCTATTTCTCTTTTTTGGAACAAGGAAATCAAGGATGAGATATGATTTGCCCAGAGTCACAAAAGGAATCTCCTGGAGCTGGGACTGAATGAGAGGTTCCAGTTCCCTGGTATTATCTCTGAATCACGAGGTTTTACTCTTCTAATACATTTGTCCCTTAATGGAACTGGAAAATCAGTTGACATACCCTGAAGACCCACATCAGGACAGTAAGGGCTAGAATTAAACATACAAGCTGTCGTGATTTGGGGTTGCACACACATGGTGGCCCAGACGTGCAGAGTGAAGGCCAGCACAGCATGTCAGTGTGTGTAACAGCAGCAAACACGTGTCCTGCTCTGTTTGTTCAGAATCATCTAACAACACCAGTCTCGTTTGATGCTCCTCTTAACTAAGGAGGGAGAATACCATTGTACAGCAAAGTGGGTTCATCTTTGTTCTACCAGTCAGTGTGACTGACCATTTCTTTCTTGTGGGGCTTTCTCCCTTTTTCTGTAAACCAAAATCTGGAGGGCTTAATTGTTCTTTCTTGCCTCTTAATCCAGGCCTTTGCAGAGAAGCACCAGATAGGAAGGCTGTGGAAAACTTTGGACTGCTGATTAAGGGACATCCTCTTAAGATTTAGAAGAGTAGAGTTATACAACACATAAGGGATCTGACTATTCCTGTTTCTCTTCTAATATATGGTCAAGACTGCAGCTTCTGTCTTCCATTTCATGACATCAGTGTAGATATTAGGCTGTGTTTTTCCATTATTTTCCCTCCAAGTTAGGATTAGTTCCTTAGGGTTCAAGTAAGTTCTGAATTTCACAGGTAAGCACCTGAACCAAAACCCTGGATTCAAACATCCCAGACTTGATGTGGAACTCAAATCTGGATCCCAACTCTGTGGCTTACTAACCTACCCATTCAGGGAAGGGTTTGTTGTCTCTATGTGGTGTTTGTGTTTTTGGTCCTTTGGAACTAAGCTTTTAATTTGGTTGCCAGTTCTGCAAGGACTTTTTAACTTCTTAGCGATGCCGGTGTTCACACGCTCCATTGCTGGCAGTGCGATGCGTAGTGATAAAATTTGACTCTGTCTAAGGGTTACTGAGATAAACCAGCATTATCATTCGTAAAGGTCATTTTCTTGCATAGTGTTCCGAGCTTTGTATTTGAATATAGCTCGCACCTGAAAGGACACATCTTCCAACTATGACCTGCATCACTGGCAGAGAGTTGTGTAATCTGTACTTGTGGAATGGGAAGGTACAAGCTTCCATCGTTGCTGATGCATCGTGTACTCCACCTATTTTGTTTGTCTTATAGCTGTTGTTCGGTTAATACTTCTTTTTTTTCAGTTTTATAGAAAAAAAAAAAATGGGGAAGTTCAGGATTTTTTCTACAAGGTATAAAACTCCAATGAATTAGTGGTGACTAGAGAGCTGTGAAAAATACCCCATTAGGAGATGATGGGCTAAATGTAGGTCCATTTCTCATAGACAAGTAGGATAACCTTTAAGATGCATGGAACAACATAATAATCGGGAAAACTGAAGCTTACATTTGTTTCCAAGAAATTCTGTGAGAACTATCTATGGAAAAGACATCAATGATTGAGAATAATGTACAAATTACTGTGTTTGAAACTTGTGTATCCATTTCTTTAATCTCATACTCTTCAGTGAACGGTACACTTGTGTTCAGTTTTATGATCAAAAACAAAGACCAAAGAAGGCCAGCCTCATTTGATTGTGTATATTCTGCCTGTCTTAATTATCAATAGCTGTAAGGATACAGTGCAAGTGATCTGGTAACCAGTGGTTCTCGTCCTTTTATTTTAGGGGGAAAAACAATTTTAAAATGTATAATTTATTGCTCAGCAATAACCATGTTGTTAAAATAATTAAAAAAGAGTGAATTAGCAACATGTCTTAATTTCCCAATAGCATTATTATATGTTGTATTTCAGTTTACTGTATATTGTGTTTTTGTATTTATTTGTGTTTGGAGGTCTTGCTATGTCTTTTTGTGTTTAAATGCTAATAAACAAGGACAGTGTGTAAGAGTGTAGAATGCTGAACTCTGAAATGCTAAACTGTGTTATTAAAGGAAAAATAAATAAGTAGGAAATCATATTTTTTAAAAAAACTTGGTGTGTTGAATTTGAATGACTACTGTTCACTTGTAGATGGCCAGGGTGCATCCTTCCTCCTCTGTGAGCATGCTGCATGTTGGCTGTTCAGTGCTTTGGGCTCACACACCTGATAGAGCTTTACTGTGGCATTTCCCATCCTCTGCACAGGTAGCTTGCCATAAATTCAGTCAGAGTCCTATTTTCCATCTGCTAACTCTGCTGGAATAAACCAGGTGATGGTGTTCATCCTAACATCAGAGTTGAGAGATCTTGTGCAAACAGAGTAGAAATAAATGGGATGGCTTTTCATGCATTTGGGGTACACTGCTTTCCCAGAGAGGTGTGGGAGAGTTGAAGCATAGCTTAAATGTTTAAAGATGTATATATCTTAGTTTTTCTTCTCTTGTGTCATTAGTGACTCTTCTCAGCTCAGAACTGCATGGCAGGTGTGTGCTTGAAGTCACAGAACATGATGCAGTCTGTAAAAACACCAGTCAGTTCTGGAATGAGTGGAGCAGTATTTGCACCACGTTTCAAATTCAGCCTAGGGATGAAACCCCTGATCCCCTGTGGTGTTGTACGAAGTATGCAACTTCTACTGAGCACCACTGTTGTCCCTCCCACCCCTTTCTTAGTGAAATTGCAGTTTCCCTTCCTTCCCATCACTGCAAGGGTGGAACTGGGTTTAGCAATGTGTTCACACCCAAGACTGCAGTGTCTTGGCAGAAGCCACCGCCGCGTTGCTGGCACTGCAATGGGAGAACGACCTGGCCAGCCCATCCTGGTGTTTGGAACAGGCAGAGTGAACGTGCTGGGCAGCCACGTTCCATGAAATGGGGACGCCAGGGAAATGGCAAATGCAGGCAGGTGGGCATGGTGAGAGGGAAGGGTGGCTAAGAAGTGCCATCCTCACCTCGTGCAGGATGTGCTGAAGTAGACATTGCCTTTGCTGCTGAAAGCAGTCACTATATGTGGCTCTGGATGCTCCGACCTCTGCTGTCCTGCTCATCAGCCTTTCCACTCACACTCCCAGCGTTGGCACTTGAGGCTGCACTGCCTGAAGCTCTTCATAGCTCTGCTGTGGAGCATGAAGGGGTGGTGAGCTTCCTTGTCTTAATGAAGTGGGTTACCTTCCAGCAGAGTCCTCTGGAGAGGAGACTCCTCCTCCCAAATTGGGGAGCTTGGTGCTGCTCAGATGTGACACTTCCGTCATTACAAAGCAGCAGGATATGCAGAGAGGAAACAAATTGCTTCAAACGTGAAGGTAAACACTAATTCTCTCCTCACCTCCCTGCTCCTCCTCCCCCATAATCGAAATGGCACGTGGTGCCCTCCCTGGCTCCAGTGAGGCTTTGTAAAAGGTTTCTTCTTCATGCCAGGTCCCAGAAGGTAACTGCCAGGTTCGTGAGGTCCTTTCCCCCTGTGGGCCACCTGGTACTTAAGGTGACATGAGCAGAGTGCCAGCTCTGTGAGCACCAAGCAGCCAGGGAGAGCAGGGTGAGGAGCTCCTGGGCTATGGAGGGTGCTGTCTGACAGGAATGCTGCCAGAGCCTGGACCTGCTGCTAGGGACATCTCTTGGAAGAACTGCAAGGGGTTTTTTTAAAGTTTTTGGGAAGTTTTCCAGAGATTCAAACCTTGGGTTTGCTTGCTGTCTGGTAAGAAGTCAGAGGTTTTCAAAATGTTCAGTCCTGTGTATCCATGCTTCCATGTGACCAACTCCTGGAATTGTCTGAGGAATGGGGAAATACCCAGCACTCAAAACAAGTGGTGAAAGAGGTGATTTCCCCCAGCCTTCCCCAAAACCAGTTATTTCATGAGTCAGTTGTGTGGCTTCTTCCTGCATGCCTAGATTGAGCCCTGGAGGCTGTTCCTGTCAAGTAATGTGTCTGGCTTGTTGTTTGGCCAAAACAGATGAAAACCCAAGTATCTTCCCTACCCTCCTTGACAAACGTGGCACCTGGGGAGGCTGAGCCCATTCAGATCCCTTGCTCCTTCAAGTGAGTCTTTGGCAGTGAGCACTGGACCTGAGCACATGCTCTGGTGTGTTCTGTAGGCTCACAAGAATGGGGAATGGCCCACGGCAGGAACTGAATTCCCACTGGCTTGGCTGGCAAACCCAAAAGAGACCTCAGGGACTGACTTCCACCCTGAAGGCTGCACCTTGGCTTAGGCAATGTTTGGGCACAGCTGGTTTGGTTGCAGCTGTGTTTTGGCAGCATGGCTGTGTGAGTGGAGGTGGGAGCTGTTTGCAGACACTGCTGTGGACACTCAACGACTGCTCTGTGCCAACGCAGAAGCTTTGCAGAGATCACATGGATTTCTACCAGGTATTTCTACCTGGCAGGCAGAAGTGGCATCTGCCTGAGCATACCCTGTGCCATCAGCCTGCAGGAGCACAGGGGAGGTGTGGGCCTGTCCCCAGCCACAGCCCCTTTAGCAGGTGTCCCTGCAGGGGTAGGTAGTGATGGCTGGTGAAAGGCGCTCAGTTTTTCCAAGGATAAAAAGAAATCCCAGCCATGCCCAGGGTTGGATGGAGTGGGCTGGTTCCAGTGGCCAGCAGCTTGGCCTGGGCTCAGGGCTGAGAAGCAAACCTGGTTGCTCACAGCCCTACTTCCACAGCTCTGTAGCTGCTCCTTGCAGACACCCCTAATCAGAAGCTCTTGTTCCCCCGCTTCACACTACAAGGTAAGAAGTGAGTTGGAGTGTGGCTTCCAAATGTGATCCCCTCCAGTGGCTTCTCCTGCCTTGCTGCCCTGAGGGTAAGCTGTGGCTGCTGGAGGCCTGTAAGCGCTGGGTGAGTTTCTCTTGCTGAATTGGTGTGGAGCTCCAAAGAGAGATTGACTGGATATTCAGCTTCAGCTCCTGACCAGCCCTGAAATGAGGCTGTGCCTCTCCTGGCAGCACACAGAACTCCTCTGACACCAGAGATTAGTTCTGGCAGTATAGATGGTGCTGTTGCATCCAAGACTATGTTTTTTTTTTTTAAATTAAAGGAAATCCCACGTGGGGATTTTATCTGGTTGATGCTAGGGGCTGCCTGAATTAAGGGCAGCCATGAGAGGCTGTCATTTGCTAGGGCCTTTCTCCTCATTTATTGAAGCTTAGCTTCACGTTGAAGCCATCAGCAATACTGCACTGTGCCAAGGAGACTGGCAAACATTGTGTGCCTGGGTACAGCCCAGCTCCCACAGGGGGTGCCTTCAGCACTGGGGGTTTGGAGCCAGCTTTTGGCACACCTCTGGCTTCTCCCCCCTCTGTTTGAGGCCATAGCATGTAATATGGTCACCACAGAATAATTTTTCCATGCATTTAATGACTTTCTGGGGATGGTGCCATTGCTGCCTGATGTCCCTGAAGGGCTTTAGGAGGTGGCTCTGCTGGCTGGCTAAGGGAAGCAGTATTTTTGGCTTTGATGCCCATTTATAACTCAAGGCTGGGAAGGTGAAGCATCCACTGAGAGCTGTTTTCCCTCTGTGGTGGCGATGTGCTTGCCCTCCCCCAGGGGCATTGTGGACAGCCAGAACTGGGGAGCAGAAGGATGGGCAGGCAGCAAGGAGTAAAATGTGCTGATCTCTGCATTAGAGCAGATGATTTAATTTCTGGGGATTTACTTTTCCTTCCTTTCAGCTTTGTTTCACTCTCCCTTTAACCACCTGGGCCAAACCTTGCTCCTGTGCAGCCTTCCCTTGTGTCTGTCTGGTCCTGAGGCACAGCAGCATCTTGGGACAGTAGCAACAACAAAAGCTGGGATGAAGAGGAGTGTTCTCCAGCCATGGGGAGAGTCCCACAGTGAGGGCTGCATTATTCTGACAGGTTATTCAATGATGCTGCAGTGAGCACCTGGCCCCAGTAATAAGTTTTGCTGGAGTTCCTGTCATTCCTCTACCCTGCCCTGTCCTACCCTAATGCTGGAGCAGGGGCTGTCCATCCTTGAGCAGGGTTTCACAGCCAGATTGGGGATTTTTGATGTCTGCCTGCTGGCCAGATGAATTCCAGCTCATTTAAAGTGAAGCGTCAGCTTTGGTGGGACAAGCAGCACTGAGAAGCAGCAGCTGCAGAGTACAGAAAGTAAAACTAAGGGTGTGGAGTACATCCCAGCACTCGGGGTTTCAGGAGCTGTGGCACTGCTCTCTGCACAGGGTCCCATGAGCAGTTTCTCCCATCCTGGCTGTGCTGCAGGATGCTGAGGCCACAGACAAGCATGCACCTGCCCTCTGCACACTGCAGTCCTTTCTCCAAGCTCTTTTTTCCACGTATCCATGATTTATAATTTTCCCCCCCTCTATTAAAATACAGGACATCTCACTGCAGCCAGCATTCACCCTGAGAGTCCCCTAGGAGAGATTTGTGAGTGGTAATTAGAGTGCAGGAGCCTTTCACCTCGAGGACATCTCTCAGCATTGAGCTCCGTGGGCAGAAAGCGCTGACTGTGTTTTGGCTGATGCCCAAGCTTAGATCTGCAGCTCTAAGGAGCTTTCTCTCCTGGCACCTCAGTCTGTCTGCCAAGTTGGAAGCTAGGAACCAGAGGGAGTAAAAATGGTGGAATGGGGATGGTTTGCCTCCCACTCCTGCACTCTTAAATCCTTGCTGGCATCAGGTGAGAGTTTCTTGTGGTCTGTGACCCTTCCACTGGATGACCCTTACAAGAACTTCTCCAGTCTCTTCCTGGCCCCTAGTAAACCCCTGCATTCAGCAATTTTCTGCCCTTACCCTGCCGGTACCAGTGTCAGCTGAAGGGCAGCTGGGCCTCACAGCTCTCTCCTCGGCATGAGCCTCTCCATGCTCTCCCCCCATCCTTTTCTGCTCCTAACACACCCTTGGCAGAGACACGGGCCTGGACTGGCATGCAGCACTGCTCCATGCTGTGGCAGAGCACAGGGATGGTGCAGTCCCCCCTCGTGCTGCATCCCCCGGCACCGCCGCAGGAGCAGCGCGGGGCTGTGCTGGCGCTGCCGGCTAATGAGCGAATCAGCTGGTGGCCAAAGTAGGATTACGGGGCTGGGAGCTGCTCCCTTCCAAGCGAGCTAATTGAAAATCCGTGGAGGCTGTTATTAGCAATGACGAGGTACCGCTGTTCAGCAGGGGAGAGCGGCGTGGGATGTGCACGGAGCGTGTTCACCCCGACACCCTCCAGCTGGACCTGGATGCGTGGGGGGAGTGCGGGTGGCTCTGGTGAGCCCAGCTGGGCGAGTCCCACTCTCGCCTCCCCAACTACTTCCTCGGTGGCTTTCTTGGGTTCCCAATGGATGGCCAAGGGAACAGGGAGACTGGAAGGGGAGCAGAGGGCAAACAGAGCAAGGCTGTTGGTGCTGGGGGAAGCCTGTCCCCACCCTGGCTAACTCGCCGTTCCCTGCAGCTCCCCGGGCTGAGCCCATCACGTGCCCGGGAAGGTGCAAGGTCCAGCCGGGCAGGGATCGCCGAGCCGAGCGATGGCAGCCGGCTGCGAAATGAAGCCCCTGCTCTTCCTCCTGGCTATCCTGCAGCTCCTTGGTGAGTACGCCCAGGGCCCGGCCGCCGTGGCGAGCAGGGGTGGCCGCTGGGCGACCTCGGCATTTCGCGTGTGCTCCCGGCAGCCCTGGCTCGGAGCAGAGCTGCAGGCTCTGTCACCCACGGCTCCCTGAGCGGCAAACGGGACAAGGCATTTCCAGCCGGCCACAGGGAAGGCGGGCAGGGGACTGAGGCTGGGATAGCCGTGCGGAGCATGCCGAGCCTCTCATTTGAAGTCAGCAGCGCTGCGCTGCAGGACACGCTCCCTGTTGAATATGCATGTAGCTTTGATGTTCAAGGACTGCGCTTCCCAGGAGACAGGGCCGATTAAATAGCACACTGATATTTCCAGGGCTGGGGAGAGTGCAGGAATGCTCGGTGCTGCAGCCGGCTCGGATGCGGAGCCGTCTCCAGGGTGTGCCCGGCTGTGCCCGCTTGACCTGCGGGACGTGAGGCTTTGTGAGATGGGGCTGTCCTTTGGGCTGGCGCTCCGGGCCCTCCATCCCCCAGCTTCCCACGGGGGGACCGCCGCAAGGACTGAACGACTTGCCAGCACTGTCTGGGGGCTTTTTTTTCCTTAAGTTCTTTTCTGCTCTGAGCCAGCAAGGTGTTTATGTCCACAACACTGCGAGCAGCTGCTTGGCTCCAGCTCTTGCCACCGGCAATGCTTTTTTCCCTCTCGGAGGGTTTTAAAGAGGACTCGGCACGGGTGTGATCGCTCTGCCGGAGGGCTCCTTCAGGCACCCGGCGTCAGGCAGGGGGGGCCCTCTGCGCCTTGGACCTGCGCTCCAGGACTTCCATTCTGCTTAAAAAATCATCGTTTCCTGTTCATCTGGGGATGGCTACTACAGTCAGCGGTCTCAGCAGAGCCCCCGGCAGAGTAAAATAGCACAAATTACACCTCAAGGTTGATCCTTGTGCTCTGATGGAGGCTCTGCAGCCACATCGCACCCCATCATTTGGTGTAGCCGGGCCCCGGCTCTGTGCAGTGCACATCCCTCTGTCAGCTGCAGTCATTCAGAACCCCCCTCCCGCCCCAGCCTGGGCTGGTGTTCCTTCTCCACTGCCCCAGTCCCTTCCACCTCGGGCTTTCTACATATTTTGTAATTTTGTGGGTCCTCCTACAGAAAATATGATACATTAAAAAGGCAAAAGTAGGTTTTTTTGGTCATTTTCTCTTCTCTGTCTCATACTTGCTTGCCTGAAGCCATTTAATTCAGGCTGCTGGAGATTCATTCATCTTCAGCTGAACAAGCATCCCCCAGCCAAGCCTAGGCAATGTCAGGTTGGGAGGCTGCTCTGCTGTGCTTGTGCAATCAGAGAGGTCAGAGTGAAAATCCCCTCTGCCATGTCCTGTCGTCCCTGGCCAGCAGACTCATCCCTGTGGGGCCCCAAAGGCAGGACTGCCACTGTCCCAGGAAACCCCAAGGGGAAGAACCCTCTTTCCCAACATGTTTATGCCTCAGGCTGAAGTACACCACTGAATTCTCCCCCTCCAGCTCCAAGCACCAGCCTGTACTTGTGCTATATGTCCCATAGAAAATGCCCTTTCTTCTCTTGCCCTTAGTGGTATCCCAGCTCTGCGTGCCCACTCTGTACCTTCTGGAAACTGAAGGCTGAGGAATCTTTACTTGTTTTATTAGTCTGAGTGACAACAAAACCCCCTGCAAGGATTGCTTAACTACCAGGTCTATGTTATTCCTACCCTTTGCCTGCAGAATGCTTTCCTGCCTTCTGTCTGCCTGCTCAGTGTTTGTCCCTTGCTTCTCTTCCTGTCTGGGTGGCTAAAACCATCACCTAGACAAAAAAAAATCCCCTGTGTATGGAAGGGCTGTGACTGCTCAGCTGGGACAATGCAGGAGCTACTCTTGGGTGGAAAATCCCCAAATCTGGCCTAAAAATGCCAAGCCATCCTAAAGCACATCCCAGAGCAGGCTCCCAGCGCCTCCCATGGACTGGTTTAAACTGTTTTTTCTGTTCCCTCCCAGCTGCCACCGCTGCCGTGTACAAGCAGTGGATCCCCAACACCAATTTTGAAACTGCCTCCAACTGGGATAAAGGCAGAGTCCCCTGTGCTAGGGATGTGGTTCACTTTGAGAAGGACAAGGTATAGACATTTTAAATTTGTTTTTATCTTTGTTTTCACAAAACACTGTCAGGCATTGGAAAAGCCCTTTTACCTGGCAGGGCAAAGCACACTCAATTCTTGCTTTTCTTACAGGTTGTCTCAGTCTTCGTTGGGTCTCCCCATGCACTGGCAGACATGGTAAGGCATAGTGTGCAGAGGTGTAAGAGGGTGGGTGAGGGCAGGGCCAGTCCTGGAGCTCTGCCTGGTGGCACATTCCCCTGGTCCCCTCTCCACAGAATCACAGAATGGTTTGGCTTGGAAGGACCTTAAAGGTCACCAGTCCCAACCCCCTGCCATGGGCAGGGACAGCTTCCCCCAGACCAGATTGCTCCAAGTCCTGTCCAGCCTCCCCTGAACACTTCCAGGCATGGGGCATCCACAGCTTCTCTGGGCAACCTGTGCCAGTGTCTCATCACCCTCACAGTAAAGAATTTCTTCCTTATATCTAATGTCCTACTGTCCTCTGTCAGTTTAAAGTCATTCCATGGACTTTGATACTTTTTTTCATGGTCCAGCCAGACCAACGATGCCTGAGTTGGGGCAAGGGACAGGAGTCCTACAGCAGCCTAGGTTTCTCTGTACCATGAAACAAAAAAGCCCATTTCTGTTTGTTTTTTCTTTTAATTAGGGGAGATGAGAGAGAGTTCAGCAAAACCCAATTTCATTTGAAGGAAATTGATACTTCCTCCTCAAAAGAGGAATAAAACCCCCTCCATCTGATGGAGAGCTTGGCAGTAGTTGGCTGAGGAGCACCAACCCACAGCAGAGCAGGCACTAGCCCTGGGCAGAGGCTAAGTGAAGCTGACATCAAAATATCTCAAAATGAAAACAAACTGTTCTGGGAAATCCCAAAATGTTGCTTGAGGAATTTTCTTTCAAGTGCCATTGGGTTTTATATTTTTCTGTGGCATTATCAGTCTAGCTGTGGCAGGATGGGCATGACACCCTGCTGAAATGTGTGTGTTGAGTGATACAAGACTGGGGGGGCTCAGCTCAGAGGGGTTTCCTCATGTGGTTTTGCCCCACATGAGGAACTCTGCCCCAGAGCAGGCTGTCAGGCAGCTATGGAAACATGAGCTCTCAATCTCTGTGGCTTGGAGGGTAAAATTTAACAGGGAGGAATTAAAGGGAAAAGCAAACCTATTGCCCCAACCTGCCAGTGGGGGATGGGTCACCAGCGAGCCCTCTCTCAGTGCTGGGACAGGAAGAGATGGGCTGGATCCTGTTTAGAAAACCTCCTCCTCTAGACCTGTTGAGCTTGTGGATGAATTTCCTCTCTCAGATTTAGGGCAGATTTGCTCTTTTATTGGCCATTGAATTTGAAGAAGCCCTTGAAATTTATGTGGTGTAATTTGTTCAGGCTGTCTACACCACTAATAGTTTTGATGCTTTAATAACACCATGTGCCACATTTAATCCCTCTACAAATATTTGGAGAAGATACTTTATTTATATGGCATTTTAAATATGAATTTTTGAAGGAAAGAATGTACTGGGGAAATACGTACAAATATAATGTAATAAATGATGTGGAATTTACCCAGAGAGGAAAAGAGCAAAATACCACTCCAGTAGATTTTATTTTACTTACAGATGAATGTATAATATTTCTAAAGTACTTTCATCAGAGGCCTGCAAAGTGCATAATTGCAGAGCAGCGTCAGTCATTACGGCTGAGCCTCCCGCAGCCAGGCTGGAGAGCGGAGCTGAGCAGCCTGAGGAGAGGGAGATCAACACAACCTTTGCACAACACAAAACAACATCCATGGCCCTGCCCCCTGCTCGGGTGGATGGCTCCTATTGCGACTGAGGGATGGGTCAGGGTGCCCCTGTGACCCCTGGCTTGTCCCTGCCAAAGGACCCAGAGTGCTGGTGGGAGCCCCTGGGGACCCTCTGCTGCTTTGGGATTTCTCTGGGCCCCCGCTGCCGGCAGGCAGCTGCACAGGCTCCAGGTTACAGTGAATTTTGTAGTCCCACTGCTGTGCAGATGGGGAGGATTGCTAGGTGATCCATGAGGGAATGAAGCATCACATGGGCCGTGAGGGCACCATTCCTCTGCTGCACTGAATTGCACCGCAGGTGAGCAGCCAACCCTGCCTGTAACCTGTACTACAGCTCACACCTTCCTCCTGAACATCACTGCCCCAGCAATACCCTGTGAACTGTCCCAGCATGTCTCTTAGTGAGGTAGTTAATATTTCTTTTTCATTTCAGCTCAGGCACTTCCCTCCTGTTCGCTGCCATGCTCTGCTGTTACCAGGTGATACAGGGACTGCCAAGGTTAGGGATGAAAGAGGAATTAAACCCACCACCTGAGCTGGGCTGCCAGTCATGCAAATGACATGAAATTTGGCAACCAGCTGGTTAGAAAATGAATTGGTCATGAGGCTTTTTGCAGAGAGTCTGGGCTGCACCTGTTCGGCTGCCAGCCACGCTCGCTGGAGCATTAATCACTTAAATCAGCAAGAATACATTAAGCTTTAGAGTCACCATGGAGATGCTATACAGCCTTTGGCCAAAAAAAAAAAAGGCAGAATGTTGTTTGCTGTAGTAGCATAGAAGGAAGTTCATAGCTGAGGAGGGATTAGGCTCTCAGTGACTTTCATGAAGATAGTGCCTGCCATGGCAAGTGTAGGGGAGGAGGATGCTTGGTGCTGGTGGTTGAGGGACAGCATGGGATCTCCCATCCCAACTCTCCAGCTGAGTGGAGCTCCGGGCGGTCCTCCTGTCTCACCATTGCTTCTCTCCTAGACATTTATGTGAAAGCTCACTTCTGTATGGTGAGCTCTCCAGCCCCCCTCCCCATCCATCCCATGTGGGCACCAGCCAAGTGCTGGGAGATGCCTTCTTGGGAGGAGGCTGTTGGGGCACAGAGCCTGCCTCCCTGCTCAGAGATCACCCACTGAGCACCCAGCTCGGTGGTTATTTGAAATTTTAAATGGATCCCTAATTCAGTCACACACTAAATCCAAATCCAGCTTAAGTGTAAGTGGCTTTGATGCACAACCGTTGTGATTAGGCTGGATTTTCTATGGTATTTAGCTGCCTAAAGATGCAGATCAGTATTTAGCCAGCTTTTGGAGGTGCCTGAGACTAAATGTGCAGAAAAGATGGAAATGGAGGTGATGATGCCTGGCATGGGTGCTCCAGGGCAAGGCAGACTTTGGCTTTGTTTGTCTCCTGATGGGGGAGAAAGACTCCTGCGAGGGATTGGACCCTCTGGCTATGGCTGTGCTTCCAGAGGGAGCCAGGCCAGGGCATGGCAGCAGCAGTGAGCTGGTGTTTGCCCCAGTGACACCAGCCCTTGTGCAGTTTGTGCCTGAGCTGGCCAGCACTGACATGCGGGCCAGGGATGGATGCTGCTGCTTCTATTTTTGGGATGGCAGGAATCGGGTTTATTCACATGGGCAGAGCAGCCTTGCTTGACACCAGGGTCAGGACACTGGCTGGGGTTACTCAGCAGCCCTGACATCACCTTTCCAGCTTTAGCCCATTCCCGAGCTCTGCTTTGGGGTGACATCTGTTTGTGCCCTCTGCCTGCCTGCCCCACGAGGGGCTGCGAGGCTGGGCAAGGATTTGGAGTGTGTGGGGCACTGGGGACACCTCCCCCAGCCTTATATTTTTAGCTGCCTAATTGTGAGAGCAGAATGTACTCGGCTTTGCTGCAGGATGCTCCCGCTCGGTTCCTGGCAGAGATCGATCTGGAAATGCCAATTGCTCCCCAGGGGCACCGGCTCTAATGAATTGCCACAGTTCGCGCTAGTCCCAGGCACCCGTGCTCCCTCCCCCACCTCTTCCCAGACAGCAGGGTAATGAGACAACCAGAAAAGGCATTATTTTTCCTTCCCCTAAGATGAAGGTAAAAAATTTCAGGGGAGTGTGTGCCAGCACATAATTCCAAGATGGAATCCTGCAGTCTTTTCTGTGTCAGCATTCACACTTAAGGTGTGTGCTAGGAAAGGAGTTGGGTAAAACAGCCATTTACACTCATCTCCCTGAGTCTATTTGCTCATTTCAGGCTGGTTTCCAGTAGGAGGAGTTACTAAAGTCTGTGATGAGCTGATCAGCTTGCCAGCATCCTGGGCTGTAGCTGATGCTGGAGCCCGTCTGGCTGGGAAGCTGCTCCATGGATCGTCTGCCATCCCTTCACTGCTGAGCATGGCCCCTCTGCCCACACCTTGAGCCCCTTCCTGGCTTTCTCTGACCTTCTCTGTGGAGGAAAGTTCAGGAAAAGGAGTTTAACTAATCTGGAATAGATTTGGCGAATGGCTTTAAGCCTCTCTGTGTCTTCTGCATCCATAGCTCAATGTCTTCACTACCCAAGGGGCTTCCCATGTCCCTGTGACACCTGATTTCTGTACACTGTTGGGACCCTTTTGGCTAGAAGTGTGGGCTGGGGATCTGCAATCAAGTTAATGGGCTTTTTGGGTCTGTTGTTTGCTTTTTATCCTGCCATGGCTTTCACTGGGCCCTGCGGGGTGGTTTGGCAGGGGCTGTGCCAGCCAGCACCTTTGTGGGATGCCAGGAGCTGTGGCTTCTCTGTAGGGATGGGCAGGACCATGATGTGCTGGGAAGCTGATGTATCAGGCCACCCCTGTGCCAGGAGATGTGATGGCAAGGCCAGGTTGGGCAGGTGCTGTGGGGAGCCCATGTGCTGAAACACAACCTAAAACGTGAGGAGCAAACTCAGCAGGGGCCAGCTCTGGCATTAATGACAGTGCGGCTGTGCTGCTGCTGCTGGGCAGGAGGGGAGGCAGGCACAGGCAGGGAGAGCTGCCAAGCACCTCGTTAGCTTGCAGGAAATGACACTGAAATGATGATATCCCCTGGCACCCCCCTCCTGTGCCTGTGCTCCTGCCTGCTGTGGGTCAGAGGCAGAGGGGATATTGCTGGGACCAGAGCAGGGCTGTGGGCATCCCCTGCCACTGCTGGTGGGGCCCATGGACAGCAGCACCAGCTTCTGTGCCCCAGCCTGCATGAGCACGGGCTTCATGGGGATACAGGCTGCATGAGCACGGGCTTCATGGGGATACAGGCTGCATTTCTGGCCTGGCTTCCTTGGGAAGCTAAACCCCCATTCCTCATGGGACCATGTGCTGGGGCAGGGAGGTTTTTGGGTAGCAAGGTGCTACTCCAGCAGCAGGTGACCCTCCTCGGCTCACACACATCTTGGGTGGCAGGAGGTCATCCTGCCTTGCCAGGGACCTGGACTAGCTGCTGTGGGATCAAGGGCCGTGGCAGGAACAGGCTGTTTTTGGCAGCCAGCTGGGGGTGTAGGGTGGCATGTGTGGCTGAGGGGAAGGACACTGTCCTGAGGGACAAGCTTCACCTGGACCAGAAGGTGAATAAATGAAGCCCCAGTAAGGAACCCAAGAAATGCTGCTGCAAGCAAGCCCCTGGCAATGCTCCGGAGTTGTCAGAGGGATTCACCTGTGGGTGAACCTGGCCCTGTGCCTTTCTGGGGTGTCAGCCAACAGCTGGATATCACCCAGGCACCACCACCAGCTGCGCTGAGACCCTCAGCCCCAGCAGGCACTGGGAAAATCCCTGCTGTTCCCTCCTGTGGGCAGAATGGGCAGAGCCCACCCACCTGCTGCCCTGGCTGCCTGCTGCTGCCTGTGGGCTGCCACTGCCCCAGCAGGGCAGTGCTGGGAAAGGTGATGTGGAAATCATCTCCCCTGAGCATTATTGCTTGTGGTGAGCTACAACAACCTGTGTTGGAGCAATGGCCCACCTGCATCCTATCCCAGTGCTGTTTTTCGATGGAGGGCCAGCAGCAGCAGCACCAAAGCTGCTCCTGGGCTGGGTGCCAGGCAGGGGGTGCTGATGGCTGCTGACCTGCCTGCTGGTGCAGCTGTGGATGCAGCATTGTGGAGCTCAGTGTGCCCAGGCAGTCTTAGTGTTGAATGATGGGGTGGGTGGCACCATCTCATCCAAGCAAGGAATTCAAGTGCATTGATGCTGCAAATGAAAGCAAGGCTGGGGGAAGACCTGGCGGCAATCACAAGTGTTGTTCACCCAGGATAAAGCACAAGTGCTGCATTTTTCCTGTGCTGATGATGGTGACAGGCCAGTCACAGTGCTCCTGTCACTCACCTCAGCCCAATGCTTGTGACTCAAGCAGAGGCAGGATGTGCCAGAGGCTGGTTGAAGCCATCTGATTGGAAAGCTATCTGTCAGGACTTTGCTTTTTTATTTTTTTTTTATTTGCTTTTTTATTTTTTTTTCCACATTTTGGAGGTTAGTTTCTTTTCCACTTATGCATTGGGGTAGCAGATTCCTTCTGGTAGTGCAATGCTGGGGCTGGTCCAAGAGCTACATTGGGTCTTGCCTCTGTTTTTCTCTGACTTTGATAAGAAAAACAATGACTGTGTTTTAGTTGTCATTATACTTGATAATGATAACTGAGGAGATAAGTGATTTACCAGTATCAGGGATGGGAAATGACTAATGAGACTCTTATGCTCTTGCTGTATTAATGGCCCTGGAGTACAGGTTGGCAGGAGGAAGGGAAAGCAGATGAAACTGCCAGCTTTTTGGCTTTGGTCCATTGGTACCTGTCATTGCTTAGTTCAAAATGTACTTGGGAAGTGGCCCAATCTGTATGCAATTTCCATACTAAACTCCCAAAGGTAGAAAACCACTGCCCAACCAGAGTCTCCATTTGTCCTCTGCAGTGAGCTGAGATGCTTAACTTATGTTGGAAAAAAGAAAGGGCAAATGATTTACAGAGATCCACTGGATGATGGAGACACTCCTGAAATGCTGCCCAGTGGTGAGAATCTCAGGCAGGGCTCATGGTGATGTGCAGCAGGGCTGCCTCAGTGGGCAGGGAGCCATAGCTGCAGGGCCCAGCCCCAGAAATTCCTGTGATAAAGCAGAAGTACAGAGCTCTTCCTGAACTTCATGCCTGTGGACATGAGGTATCTCTGTCGCCTGTCCTGCATCGTATTGTGTTGCATCTGAATTCCAGGCCTGGTGCTTGCAGTGTTTGGGTAATCCCAGGGTGTGAAGGGACATTGTGTGTCCTCGCTCTCATTTCCCTGCCACACTGACACCTGCATTAGCAGCTTCCTCTGGGCTTGGGAAGTCCAGCCAGCCTGAGATTTTGGCCTCAGCAGTGGAGGGGGATCTCCTATGGTGGCTGGAGAAGCTGCATCTTGTCCAGAGAGATCAGAAGCAAATGTTTTCAGAGCACAGGGGCAGATTTGGCCTGAGGCATTTCTCCCATCTCTCCTCTTGAGCAGAACTGGTGCTGTGTCCTGCTGGCCCATCCAGACCTGCTCTCCCTCCCAAGCACATGCAGCATGCACCACCTCGCTTGGTCATGGAACCAGTATTGTGCATCCATGTGTGCATCCCTAACTGAGCAAGTTACCCTCTTACACCTCATCTCCTCTCTTACCATACTGAACTCAGCCCCACCACATGAATCCTTGACATGTTTTCCTTCTCCCCTAGTTAGTTTGTGAAGGCCTGGATGAACAATCCCCTTGGACACCAAAGCTTCTTATGTCCTGCATGGTCATCACAGGGTGTTTGGGGAGCTCTGATCCACAGCCATAGTCAAAGTGGTAACTAGAGGGGAGAGAGCTGTCAGACAGGCAGGGATGAGAGCAGGGACTTCCCAGCCCAGTGGTCTTGATCCAGCCACAACACTCACAAATGCCAACTTCAGCAGCCTGGGAAAGCGAGCAGACACCAATCATAGTCCTGCTGTGTAACCAAGCCCCTCACCAGCAGCTGCTGGCTGATTTTCCTTCTTCCACCCAAAGATCCCTGCAGCTTTGGGTCTGAGTGCCCAGAGCTGACTGCTGTGAAGAGCTGGTACCCTGTGCTGGTGAAAGGATCTGCTGCATCCCATCCAAAGCCCCACACAGAGCAGCTCAGATGGGCCCCAGCAGCCAGCTGGCCACCCCTCCTGCCTGGCCCCTGCTCACACAGCCACACAGCAGCTCACAGAGCCTGCAAACTGGGCAAGAGGCAGTGCCCAGGGACCCCAGGCTGCAGTGGCCCAGCCAGTCTGGGAGAAGGGACTGGGCTGGCAGTGCTGCTGGTGCTGGCCTGAGAACAGGCAACAGCTGACTGCTCCAGAATGTCCCATTGCCTGCTCCTGCCTGAGCTCACAGGAAAACAAGCCAGGACACTTGAAGTGAAGTACAGCATTTTGTGGTTGAAGCTGGCAGCATTGCCTTCACCCAACTGAATGCAGGCCAAGTCCTGAGCCTCAAAATGGAGATGTTTTGACGGCTTTTTCATCTGCAGCTAAAGGACATGATGCCTTTTGTATCCTGGCAGACCTTTCAACTTTTTTCAGTGCTTCAGTACTGGACAAATTTCCTCTACTCAAAAGTAATAAAAAATCAGAGAACCTGATGGCAGGACACAGGCTGTGGTCTGATGGAGCAGTGTCCATAGGCAAAGACTTCTTCCTGGCTGGCGGAAGACTCTGGGCACATGTTGCCCCAACCTCAGTTATTCCCAGTGCCATTCCCTCTTGCCCAGCCCAATGTATGGCATTGCTGGGCCCAAAGCAGATGGTGCAGAGGAGCACTGTGGGACTCTTCTTGGTGGCAGCCACCCTCTGCTCTCTATTTTGTCTTCTCATGCTTCCTGAACCAAGACGGGCTTGGCCTTCAAAGCACTGCACCACCAAGGCATTAAATGTCTTAACAGGTGCCTGCCTACAATTTGGAGGTGATCTTTTGCCTTGTCCACATCCCCCATGCCTTCCCCTTGGTAGCCTCTGAATGGGACTGAGCATCCTCAGGCAAGACTGGCCAGGGACAGAGAGCTATCACAGCCACCTGCAGCAGTCAGCCATAAGTCTTGCTTTCTCTAACCTATATACATATTTAAAGACCAATTAAGTAGATGAAACCTTAAAATCCCATTTAACTTTTTCTGCCTGAGCACAGGACCCTGTACGTTCTCATAACTCAATCCTGGAGGGCTTCCAGCTGCTGTTGGGGAGTGGATGCTAAAACACTGGATAGAACAAATTAGAGAAGGGAGCCTTGAGCATCACTGACTCTAAAATATTGGGAAAAACCATGACTTCCTCTCTGCAATTTCTAAATGTAAAATAAGATGGGCTGGGCTGAATAACCTGTTTGCTGTGAATGAGTTGTCTGAGTCAATCATTTGCAGGGCCTGTCCCAGAGTTAGCAGTGCTGGCTGGTGACCCATGTGGCCACAGTTTCTTGCTGACAAGGTTCCCATGGCAGAGCTGTGCCTGTTGTGGTTTGTCAATGGCCAGGATGAAGCCAGGTCAGAACTGTGACCCTGCTGGTGATGTCCTACACAACAAGAAGGGTGTCTGGCTGTGGCAAGCTGCTCCAGATTCCACTGTGTGTTCCCCTTAGCTTGTGCTCAGTGCAAATTCACTACCTGACACTGTACCAAGCACAGCCAGGGCCCCTGAATTATATTTTGTGGGGTGAGCATAGCTCCTGGAGGTGGGAACCCATTGAGGGGGCCTCTGGCACTTGCAGAATAAGGTTGGGTTTTTCTTGGTGCACCAGCCATGTATAAATCCATTCCTGAGCTGCTGCGAGTGTGTACAACAGGAGGAAGAAACTAAGAGCTTATTTTGCTTTTTCTTGTTTCTCTGAATACTTTTCTGTGTTATGGAAGATAAATCCAAACTGCCTCTCCCCATTGCAGGATCCCCAAAACCAGGAGCTGATACTTTCCTATTTACATGGGCAGGGTAAGGGTAACTCCTGATAACTGTAAAGTGCCTGGGAGACTGTGAGTGTAATAGGCAGCCTAATAATTAGCAGTTATATAATTATATATATAGAGTTATTTGATTACAAGTCTGGGTGGCTGGCAGCAGGACAGTAACGCTCTGCATCCCTTCATCTAGTACCTGCCCCTGAACGGAGAATTCGTGCTGGCAGCTGGTGCAGCATTCACAGCTTTCGATGGCAGCTGGGATCCGGGCTGTGACTCAGGTATTTTGTGCCCAAACCAGGCACCCCATCAGCCTGTGATGAATCATGCAAATTCAGCCCAAATATCTCTATGAAGGTCCTGCCTCAGAGCAAAGTGAATCACTCCTCTCCAATACTCACCTTTTCTTTGATGACCTCTCTTATCTCAGATCTTTTTTTCTCCTAGATCACCTGTCTTCTAAAAAGGTAATTATAGTAGGGAAGCCTTTGAAGCTGTAGCAGAGAGGCAAATATTGTTTATATTTTCCCCTGCCTATTAAGCATGTAGCCACATCAAAGCCCTTATTTTCTCTGCCATGGTGTTTCTAAAGAAAACCAGTAAGGAGTTACATGCGGGTGAGCCAAACCATGGCCATCACAGCAAGCTGTCCTTTGGCCCCACACATGCATTCTCCCCTCCCAGCCTCCGTGGCTGAGACAGCAGCTTTGTGTCATTGGTGCCTGCTATTATCTGAAAGCTATTTTCTAGGGAGGTGTATTTTGGGTGCTTAAGAACTACCCCATGCTTTCAGTGGCAAGTAACTTCCTCTGCAGGAAGGAAGCATTCAAGCAGAGCATCTGTGCCTGCACTCTGAATGGAAAAAAAAAAAAAGAAGAGAGAAAAAGTCTAAATCAGTCTCCCCAGAGGAAGGACTGTAGCTTAAGACTGTCTGGAGGCACTCTGAAATCCTTCATCCCTATAATTTTTTTGTTTTGGGGCTGTTTGCCCCCCAGCAGGGATGTTCTGCCATCTGTGCTTGGCACTGGGCTTTTCCTGCTGACCATGCACCTCTCCCCTGAAATCAGCTGGTGTTTCTGGGACAACTTTCACAAATGGACTTCTTCAAAGCACGATTTCAAAATGAATGCAAATAATTCAGTCATTAAGTATCTGCATGCTGGCTGAATTGGTGAAGGGTCAGCTGCTGGGAGGGGAGAGAGGCAATCAGGGCATGATGAGATTAACCAGGGAAGCAGGGAGATGGTTAATGGTTAAATAATTGATAGTTAAATGGGGCACTGGCTTTGGGGTTACCTGCTGCAGGGAACAGGGCCGGTCACATCTCTGCAGACCTGCCAGGCTGCTGGGAAACTGGGACATGAATTATCATACCCATTTTTATCAGGTTTAGCTGTTACTCAGCATTCAGGCAGATGTTTTTCTCCTTAACCAGAAGGATGAGCTCTAAAAAATGAGGGAAAAGTATCCTGTGGGATGTGGGCCTGGAAGCCTGCAGGCAGATGTGGGATTTAGGCTGAGACCCCAGCCTTGAGTTCTGGGAAGCCTTGCCAAGCTCTGGGAAATGCCTGCGGTGGCTGCCCATGAGGCTGATGCCAGGCCCAGCCCTTGGCTCCCTGCCCACAGGCTGAGATCCTTCACTTCACCAGACAGTGCCTGATTTTACCAGACCAGATGCATCTGCTGGGGCTTCGGATTTGGGTTATGCTCAGCCTTTCCTGTCCCTTTTCCAGGTGGAGCAGTGAGGTTTGCTGATGCTGAGCACCATGCGTGGTTTGACCCCACGCTGTGGCAGGATGTTCTCCCCAGCAGGGAGCTCAAGCCAAGCGGGCCCATCTTTTCTGTGGACGAGGAGCGCGTCCCGTGCCGCTACGATGATGTTATCTTCCAGCCCGAAACCTCCTTCCGGGTAAACACCGACTCATGGCAGCCAGTGATTCACCTCCGCAGCATCTCTGTCATGGGCCAGGTGAGGTGGGGAGGATGAGAAACTGGCTCCACGCCTTCTCACCCCAGCCCCGAGGAAGGAGCAGCTGGAGATGGGGGAGCAGCGCTGCACAGGGAGATGGGGCACACCCGTGGGGCTGCAGCTCCGTGAGCTGCTGCTGCTGCTGCGGGTGGCCTCCATGGCTTTCTGCATCGAGCGCTTTGTTATCGCCTCCCTCCCTGCAGTGTGGGAGCGCAGGCTGTCTCGCTGTGCACGTTTCAAAAAGGGCCAATATGCACGGGTCCAACCACCCGTAAATGGCAGCTTCTCTGGCTCCCAGGGGCCGCTCCCTTCCCAGACACGTGTCTGCAGCCGTGCTGCTCAGGGACCCTCTGGGGACACCTCCCTCCTGCCCCCGACCTTAACATGGCCTGTGGCCCAGTGATTATCTCCCAGCTTTGCTTCAGCACTGCTCTTTAATTGATTGGGGGGATAATTATAGAAGCGCTGGCAGCCTGCTGTGCCTCAGCCTGGGAATCAGGCTCCCCATGAGCCCTGTCCCTCCTGGTCAGAGGAGCAGAAGATCACAGGCGCTGCAGCAGTAAACACAGGCTCCTTCCAGGAGTGGGAGATGCGGCAGGCGTTTCATAAGTTATTTATTATTTCTACTGCTGCGCTGGCTGGGATCTGCCGTTTCGGGGCCAGGCATTAGGTAGCTGCTTTTTGAGGAACAGACTCAGCCGGTGCCTAGGCGGGTGCAGGCGAGTCTGAACAAGGCAGCGCCCCAGTGGAACTCACCCCAGGCACACGTAGCCCCAGGGATGGAAAGGTGGATGCTCTTGGGTGCTCAGAGTGATGCTGGTCCTGCTGATGCCTGGGGACCACCCCGTGGCACATCATCCCCCCCAGGGACCACTGCTGGCTGTCCCTCAGGGCAGAGGCTGCTGCTGAGCAATGAGATGGAAGGAGAATGTGCTTTTTGTATCATAGCGTATTTCCTAAGAACTGACCTTATGAGCTTCTCTGTGCCTTTGTAGCCAGCCTACTCTGTGCTCTTTGATGACTATTTTCACCCCAGGCTCTCAGAAATCTGCCTGTTGTGCCAGAGCATGGAGACACTTCCTGTGGAAGAGAGTGGGTGAGGGAATCACCAATGACTTGGCAGGATGAGGTTGGTTAGTCCAGCTCAGCCTTTGCTAATGCCAAGCACCTAGAAAATCTTCCCAGAAAGAAGGAAAACAGCTCAGATCCAGCCCCCTTTCTCCCAGAAGTGAAAAGCTGGTAACTTGAATTCTCTGAGCCAGCAGAAGGATGGAAAGCAAAATAAGAAACAGCCCAGCCATCTCATTGCCATTGTTTTTTGTTTTAGAGAGAGTTTTTCTGTTGGTCCAGGGGAAAAGATGGAATGGGTGTATTGGCGGGGTTTTCCTGCTGCTGCACTGTCTGCAGCAGGGCTGCCCAGTGATGGCCATCAGATGTGGCACCAGGTGTCCCAGCAGCACAGCTGGGTGCCTGGAGACAGCACTGGGACCTGTCTTGGGATACTCACCCTCTTTGCTGCTCTTCCCTGCACAGGAGCTGAACACCCCGTCATCCTGGGCTGGGTACCTGGGGGGCCCCTCTGCCCCGCTGCAGTTTCATGGCAATGGCACTCTCCAGGTGACAGGCACTGGCTGTCCTGATAAGTCTGGCTGTGCCTGTGGGAACGGCCCGGTGAGTCTTCCCTTTCCCCTTTTGGCGGCTCTAGTGCAGTTTGTGGGGCGAGGGACTGACACTGCCCTGCTCTCCTTTAGGATGGCCCCCGCATCTGCGCAGCCCTGCTCAGGGCATCAGGGAGGCAGTGCCCAGAGCCAGCGTGCCAGAGCCCTTTGCAGCCCCTTGGCCACTGCTGTGGGGTCTGTGGTGAGTGGGGGACATGGCCCTATTCCTCCTCCCTGCCATGCCAGCTGCCCCAGCGTGCTTCCCCTGGCTCCATGGGGGAAAATTGGGTGCAGGGGGTGCTTGCTGCTGGCTGAAAGCTGAAGTTTTGCTGTATCACTGCTGCCAAGGGTCCCATCTGTGGGTCCCATGTGCAGATCCCATCGTACCACCTTCCCAGCACATTTCTCTGAAGAGATCCTGGCTTTTGGAAGCCTGTTCTGAGTCACAGCCCTTCGTCCCTGCTTCTGGTTTATCCTGTCAGGATGTCACAGCTCGTCAAGCTAATAGGGCTCTGCTGAGTTTATGCAGCCAAAAACATGCAGAGGAAATGCAACCTTTTCCACTGTAATGTCAGCTTCCCAACAACCAGCTTGTTTAATTTCATTTAAAATAAAAGCATGCAGATTGACAGCATTCTCTCTGCAATGAGAGCTCCTCCATTAATCTGCATGAAATGTTGCTAGGGGCAATTTTTCATGCACAACTGTACCTGGATACTTGGTATATGATATTTGGTATGTCATACCAAATTTATTAAAATGGTGCCATGTGTTTCTCCAATGTGCTTCTAAAAGCATAGTCCCTTACAGTCTTTAGGACAATTTAAAATTTCAGCAAATGCTTAATTGTATTTTTCCCCAGGAAAATATTTGTCTCCATGACTGCAGTGCAGTGGTGCAGGGACCACAGGTGTTCCCTCCTCTCAGCCTTCCCCCCTAAGGCCAGGTTTGTGCTGCTGTGCCACAGCCTCATGGCCCCAAAAGCAGGGACATGAAGAACTTCCCACAGGGATAAGTGGGAGAAAGCTTTCCAGGGAAAGCTCCTCTCCAGAGTATGTTGGAAAGCCAAAAAGCCTTTCATTAAACCCAAAAGGACCAGCAAGGGAGGTTTCTCTCTGAGCCCAGCCAGACCAGTTGCGCAGGGTACCAGAGGGTCCCCAGTGCCTTTCCTGGCAGTCAGAGCTGCTGTGGCTGCTCTCTGCCCACAAGTGGTGACAGTTTGATGTCTGGCTGCTTTCTGGCTGCAGGGGCCACCATTAACCTGGATTTCACTCCTGAGTTTGACCTGCGGAAGTACCAGGACAGATTGGTCCAAGAGTTGCTGAGCCAGGTACGTCACCCTGTCAGACTGGGAGGGGCTAATGAAACCACAAGCCACTGGCCACATCTGCCGGTGACTGGATGCCTGTGGGACTGTCTGGGGCTGGCACACGGTCCCAGCGATGCCAGGGGGCAGCTCACTCTGCACAGCCCTGAAGGGCCCACCAGCCCCGTGTGACCTCTGGGATGTGCCCGCTTGCTGTGGGGCTGGGTCCCTCAGTCCCCACCACAGCCCCACCATCCGCCCAGCTCAGGGCAGCAGGAGCTGCTGATGTGCAAAGGGGGAGGGTGCAGGGGGCTTGCTGGCAGCTCTTCCTGCTCTAGGAAGCGGAGGAGGTCAGCTGGGGTCGCAGGGGAGTGCAGGACACAAGGCTGGGGTCATGCTCACCTGCAGCAGGGCATTCCCTGGCCTCTGGCCCGTGCTGAGCTGCTTTTCCATTCCCCAGTAGGCAAGCACTGGGTGGGTGACTGGCACTGGTCAGCTCTCAGATGCTCTACAAAGCATCACTTCATGCTGCTGCCTGTCAGACACAACATGGTACCCCTCCTCTTTGCCAGGGGCTGCCGGGGGAGGAGGTGTGCTCTGCGTTGCACTGGGAGGTTCGATACCAGAGTATTGCTCTACTGATCCTGAGCTGAAAGCTGTCTGCCTGCCCTCCTTACAGCCACACATCTTAATACAGCTTTTAATGGGTGTTATACATGAAACAGCTTTCTCAGCGTGCTCTCCTGCATGGGGGCTCATTGTGTGCCGGGTAGGCACTGGTCACAGCTTGGGAGAGAGGGGATGTACAAGCCTCTCCTTCGGGAAATGCACCGACACTGCCGTGACGGGGATGGCAGCTCTGTGGTGGGGCTCACATGAAGATTCAGGTGGGCCTTGCAGCTGCACCCATGGTGCTGTCTGGAGATGTGACTGATTTGTGCCTACCCTCTCACGGGCTTTACGTGTCTCCTTTTGTTTTGGGAAGCCCAAATACGCTGGTGTGCAGATGGCCATATCCAAGGTGCACAAAGCACAGACCTTCCTGGGCATCACATCCCGGAGCACCACTCCTCTCATCCAAATCGTGCTGATTGATGACAGAGCAGGAGTGCAGGCGGGCACCGCTGCGGAGCAGCTGGCAGGAGACATCATGGAGAGCATAGCACAGCACGGTAACACCCTGTCCTCCTCAGCAGGTCCCCTGCAGGTGCACCCAGACCCACTGCTGGCCAGAGCTTTGTATTCCCTGCCAGCAGCCCACATGTCCAGTGGGGTTTGAATGTCTCTGAGGATGGAGATTCCACATCTCTTGGCAGCCTGTTTCCACAGTGACCATCTTCGCAGTAAACCAGTTTTTTATATATAAATACTTGGATAAATATAGGTATTTAAGTAGAATTTACCATATTCAGAATCTGCCTGTTGCCTCTTGCCCTGTCACTGGGTGCTGCTGAGAAGAGCCTGGCTCAGTGCTCAGCTGTGTCTCACCAGGGCAGGGCAGAGCACAGTGGAAGGGTCACCTCCCTTGCTCTGCTGGCAGTTCTCCTCATGGAGATACCAGTGTGCTTCCATGCCACCTCTGACCCTGACCAGCTTGGGCCCCCAGGTCCCTGTCTGCAGAGCTGCTCTGCAGCCAGAATGCTGCTTGTGGAGGCAGACAGTGGAAGCTGGCAGATGCTGATGGGCACACAGGTCACAGCCAGGGGACCTGGTGGTCGCTGTGTGGGTGGCAGACCCACAGGGGCTTGTCCCCATTGAGTCCATTCCCCTGTGAATCCCCTCTCTGTTCCCAGGGAAGGCGATCAACAGGGCAAGCAGGGCCAGACCCAGCTGAGGGCTCCCTCTGCCATGGGTGTGGGGATGTATTGCCTTGTACAATCCTCTTCCCTGTTTCTTCCCAGGTGAAGAGCTTGGCATTGCAAGTGGCAAAATGGAAGTGGCCACTGGCAGCACTGCCAGCAGGCAAGAGGGGAGCCACCCAGTGAGCAGGATCACAGCGGGGACAGTCATGGGGCTCCTCTTCGCTCTCCTCTTCCTTGGAGGGATCCTCTTTCTCTACAGGAAGGGAAAGCTGAGGTAGGGATGAGGCTTCTGCCAGCAGCAAATACTCAGGCTGCCTCTGCTTGGGAGCAGCTGCCAGCCCAGCTGTCCTTCCAGCCTGGCACACAGGGGCACACAGTGCTGCCTGGAGCTCCCACAGAGAGGGGCATGGCCTGGCAGCTGCTACCCCCAGCATTGCTGTTCATAGAACCACAGCATGCTTTGGGTTGGAAGGACCTCAATGATCATCTAGTTCCAACCCCCTGCCATAGCCAGCGACACCTTCCACCAAACCATGTCTCTCAGAGCCCCAGCCAGCCCGGCCTTCAACACTTCCAGGGATGGAGCATCCACAACTTCTCTGGCAACCTGTGCCAGTGCCTCACTGCCCTCACAGTAGGGAGTTTGTTCCCAATATCTAATCTAAACCTGCCCTGTGTCAGTTTAAAACATGTCCTTGCTCCTCATGGTTTACTGGAGGTGGGGTGGCTGAAAGGCACTTCTGTACTCCTGGGCTGTTGCTTCGTTCTCCTCCATGACCAGGAGGAGCTGCCTCTGGGCAGGGTGCAGTGTGCTCGGGTGGGAGCAGGGCTGCTGCAGCTCAGCTGGAGCTCTGCACAGCCTGGTGACATCTCCTGTTCTTTGGCACCGTTAGTTTGCAGCCCTGCTGGGGAGGGGAGGACTGAACCTGCCAGCTGCTCAATAGAAATGCATCAAAATAATGCAAAATGCTTGTCCACAGCTTCATAACCATTAAAGGGAGAGAGAGACAGCATTCAAAAGCAAGTGCAGCTTCTGGTGCATTGCTTGTTCACACAGCATGGAGTACAGAGTGCAGGTCCCAGGGGAGGGCTGGAGGGTGCACCTGACTGTACCTCAGCTGGGAGTTAATCAGAAATACCCCTTCTCCATCACCTTTTTCCCTCACAGCTTGGAGATGGGGCCTGGCAGTGTCCACAGCAGGTGCTTGGGGCACCCACCTCTGCTCCTCCCACATGCAGCCACCTTCACGTGGAGGGTTTTGCAGGCTTTACTGGCTGCCTGCTGAGCCACTGGGGGTTTCTCATTTACCCAGCTGTGGACAAGTGGGGTTGACTTTATGCCTTTTATAACCAGGGTCTGGGAATTGCTTCAATTTGCATGTGCAAAGTACATCTGTGCCTGCCAGAGGGTGCTGAGTACCCTGATGCTGGGACTGCCTTGTCACAGGCTCACAAGTCAGGCTGTTTGTTCCCTCCTGCTTCCTCCACTGGGATTTTGTCACTCTGCAGCAGTGGCCCTGGCCAGGAACACTTGCCCTGCTGCTCAACACATGCTGACATGATATTTCCTAGCAGTAAAACCCATGCCTTCATTTAATTCCTAAATAAAACTCCCAGACCCATAATTGCTACTTGAGGATTTATCTTTCACTGATGCTTCTTTGGATGCTGGACAGGCCTTTGAAACCAGCTCTGTCAGCAGCAGGAGGGAATTTTGTGTAGCTGTAGGAGACAGAGCTGAACATGAGCCCAGGGCCTGTCCCACTCCTGCTATAGGTCCCCCTTATTTCCACTGAAAGGGGCGAGGCAGAGCTTCCCTCAGAGCTCTTGAGGTGATGTGCATGGCCCTGCTGCTGAGCCCACATGCAGGGGCGTGCTCAGCCACTGGGACCCTTAGGATAAAAGTAATGAAGAAAATAATACAAGTGGTGATGGTGATTAAGATCACAAAATGATAATATGATAAAAGTAATGATAAAAGTAAAGACAAAAGTAATGATAAAAGTAATGATAAAAGTAATTAGTACTTGCTGAGATTGCAGTGGGAACAGGTGTCAGCTCTGTGGCAATTCATTTAGGCCACAGGGAAGGAATGATTGCTCCAAAGGGAAGCCTGTGCTAGAGTTGTCTGCCTCTGCAAACTCCTCCCTCCAGAATGCAGGTCCCAGATCACCAGGCTTAATGATTTCTGCTGGATACAGCGGCTTTTCCCTGGGAAAGGGTACAAATAACCCATTTCAATAACAGCCTGACATTTTGCCCCTGTACATTTTCCCATCCACCTCTTAAAGACGCGGGGTTTCAGCTGGGGGAGCTGCAGGGATAGGAGGGATGTGGATGGTGATACCCAGCTCTTCCCCAGGATGCCTGTCCTGCGCCCGCCCCGGCCCTGGGACAGACTGGAGGACCCGGTGTCCCCTGCACCAGCCAGTGACAAAGGCTTTGACAACCCCGTGTTCAACGTGGTGAGTCACCACTGCCAGGGACACCGGGGGTGCTCGGGGGTGGGAGCTGCTGGGTGCCATGACAGTCTTGAAAGCCTCCTGGGGTTACCCTGACGAGGGCCCTGCTTTCCCCAGCCCAGGAGGGGTTTGTGGGACATTCCCGTTCTCCCTCAGGTCACCAGCCTCTCGACTGCTGCAGGGACTCAGCACTGGGTGGGTTTTGCCAAGGGTTTTGCTTCTCTTCCCCATCGGTTGTTTTTCCTCCCTTGTTTTTGCAGGAGCCTCCAGATGCTGACCTTGGAGAGGAGACACCTAAAGATCTCCAGGTCTTCTACCTCAACCCTCTGTACGATGCAAGTGAGACAGAGACCTGATGGTGTGGACTCACGCTGGGGACAGACACCACTCCCTGGGGGACACTGCCACCTCTCCAGTCCTCACAGCCCCTCCCAGTCCCTCACATCACTCCTGGTGGGAGTAGGCAGAAGCAGATCCCACCTGAATAAAAGTTTCTGTGCAGTAAAGGAAACCACAGCAAACCTTCACTGTTGGGATTCAGTCACATGGACATGGCATCCCTGGTGTTACTTCTGGCTTTTAAACTGTATTTTGCAGGTGTCCATTCTTTTTAGACAGTTCAACATTTTGGGTCCCAGATGGTATCCAGAGAAGTGGGGTCTAGCTCAGCACCCTAGCTTTAGCCAGCCCTAATTTTTGCTTCAGGGCACACAGCAGGTTGAAGGAAGCATCCCTGGATGCATGACAGAAATACAGTGCTCAAACACGTTTTAGAATATGACCCAGAGCCTTCAGGGCCTGGACCCATTAGCTGGAAGGTTGTTTTGCTTTCCAGCAGTGTGCTCAGTGCTGGGGATCTCTGCTCAGGGTCCCCATTCCTCCTCTCACTCCTGTCCACTGGGTGCTGGTGAGGTGCAGTCCTGGTTAAACAATTCCCTCCCCTGGGAAGCTTCTGGAGCTTGTTCCTTCCCTCTGTGCCTGGACTGAAAGGTAAGAAACCCTCTTGGACCTTTGGGGATTTATTCTGTTGTTCCTTGAGGTGAGAAATTCTTCTCATGGTAGAAGGGGAAGGAGGTTTGATGCTGGGGTCCCTGGGCAGGGATGCGGGCAGGAACTGAGGGCTGGGGACAGTCACATCAGCCCATCTCTGATGAGGGTTGGGGCAGTGGCACTGAGATGTGTCAAACAGCATCATCTGCCCACAATGTCAGGCAGTGCTTCTTTATGGAGCAGGGCTGATGGGTGAGGCGGAAATTATGGATATGTATGCAAATGGATGCAAATTTACACTCTACTGGGTGTTCAGCAGGGCTTGTTGGCATATTCCATAAGGAAGCAGCTATTTTAAGTTTATAATATTTTGTTCTAGTCTCTGGAAGACATAATCCCTCCTCAAAGGCCTAGGAATTCATCATTAGGTGCATTAGAGCCCTGACGAAGGGTATCGGGCAGCATGTGGTGGTGGGATCAGCCCTGGCCCTGGAAAGAGGCAGGACAAAAGCATGAGGCAGGCAGGGAACAAGGCCCCACGGGGCCCCTGGTTCCTGCAGTGAATTTGTGAGTGGGGCAGAGCCAGGAGGAGCTTGGATTTCACCATGCACACCTCTCCTGAGAGGGCTCCTCCACTCCTGGGACAAAAAGCAACTTGTCTGGGCAGGAGTTTCTGCTGCCTCTGTCAGGCACTTGTTGCTGGGGTGAAATGGTCACCGGCCTTGTGACCGGTCACAAGGTCAAAAAGCAGAGGAAGGCTGCAGCAGCTGACATGGACATGTTGAGATGTTCAATCCCCATCCCATGGTCCTACAACCATCACCGTGGGGAGTAGTGACCCAGGGACAGGACCCAAAACCTCACAACACTCAGTCACTGCTGTGACGTGAGCCCAAGGGAGATCCCCCCGCCCCTGCTCACCCCACAGGGCCAGACAGCACCGCATGGCCAGGGCTTGGTGCAGCTCAGCAGCCGCCGTGTTACCATGGTGCCTGTGAGAGCAGCCACATCTTCCACCAGCTACATCCCTACTTTCTGCCTGTGAGGGCCTTTTTGTGTTCTTTTTGCCTTTCACATCAGTTTGTTGCAGGTGACTGTGTTTCCTCCAGCCCACAAGGCTTCAAATACATACAGAGGAATTTTCTTTCTGGGGCCACTGCAGTGCTGCACACTGGAGGTGGCTGCACCAGGCAGCCCATCACACCAGTACTGCCCACACAAGGAAGGGACTCAGGGGTGACCCCCAGGGTCTGGGGGGTCTGACCCTACCTCAGAGTGAATTTCTTTCCTCCCTAGCTATTTTTGGGCCTTGCTCAGTGTGAGTGTGAATTGTGATGTGAGGACTGGGAGGGCTCTCGATGGCTGCATCCCCTCAGCATGTGCAGATGAGGAAGGACAGGAACATCCCATGGCCACAGGCTAAGGGAGAGAAGAGACGACCCATTGGGCAACAGGGACCATTGCACAAGATGGTGTCGGGATAGTGTCCTTCTGCAAGTGGCTGAGGACCTCAGCCTGTGTCCTGCCTGGACACACAGGGATTTGAGGGTGAGCCATGGGCTGGTATGTGCTTTTGGGGTGGGACACCATCCTGGGACACATCACTGACACGGGGGGAGGCAGACCACCCTGTGGCAGGAATCTCCACCTGGTCACCCCTAAGTGTTGGCATGTACGGATTTGCCGTTGGCGAAGCTTCATTTTTAAAATGCAGTAGCGGCTCGAGGTCACTTACAATAGAGGCTTTAATTAAAGTAGAGATCAATTTTTGTCAGTGCATGAGCAGAGCACAGTCTGTACTTTTCCTTCAGGAGCCACGTCCGCTCGCTCGTACAGAACGCGCCGCAGGGAGGGGGGAGCTCTGCAGAAACAAAATGAAGCACCACAGTGAGTTTGTGATGCCAGGAACCAAGAGCTGCTGGAAAAACAGCTGTATCCGTGATTGTATCTGTGATTGCTGCACACCGACACACACACACACACAGCCACGGTGCAGGCAGGGCAGAGCAAAGGCGTTTGGTACGTGTCTCCTGGGATCCTGTCTAAAGACGGAATTTAATTCACAGACACCTTTAGTAAGCAGCACATTAGATGGGTGGTTTATGTCACCGAGGCTGTGCATGGCATGTCTGGGCACCTGATGGCTTTGTTTTGCTTCTGGTCCTGAGTGTCAGGGGTCCCCACTGTGACAGACTAATTCAAAATGCATTAGTGTTAATGGCAAGATCTCAGGAGTCATTGCTTCCCAGAGTCTCAAAAGAAAAAGCAAACTGCACACTAGTAATGGACACCAACTCGTAGTACAGTGCCTTCTCTTTGCACGATGCAGCCGCTCACACAAGTTGTGCAAACCCAGATTGTGGCAGAGTCCTCAAAATATCCCTGAGCCTCAAGACAGACTTGGCTCAATAGATTTATTTTTTTATATCTCTTAGCAGGAGGAAGCAGTGGCAGGAGGGTATTTGGCAGGGACTGGTCTCACCGGAGTGCAGGAGCTGGCCAAGGCACTGCGGGGTGGCAGCTCTGGCCGTGCCCATCAGCATGCAGGGCTCTGCACTGCTCATCCTCACGGGACCACAGAGCAGGGGCTGCGTAAGAAACAGCAAAGGAGGCGAGGCTGAAAAAGATTGGAGGGTTTTATCCATGAGAAAGCATCAATAAACCTGCGTGAACCTGAGCAGTCAGATGACAAAAAAGTGCTGCAGCTTACTGGGGAGCAGGGAAAATATTTGCTGCAAGGACAGGGAAGGGGCTGATTCCTTAGTCCATGTTCCTCCTCTGGCTGGAGCACAGCACTGCAGCTCCCACTGGCTGAGCACGTCCTGCTGTCTTCTGCTCCTGTCCTCAGCTAACCCTGCCACAGGGTTGCCTGATGGCAACATCAGGCTGGCCTGAGCATCAGGCACCGCTGGGACACGTTCTTGCCAGCATTTGGCTTTCCTGGGCATCCCACACCAGGCCTGCAGGTGTTGCCTGGTCTTGTAACCACCCCATCCCCAAAAACATGCTTAGGATGTTTTGCAAGCACTGAGATGGTGCTGGCACTGTGCCTTCCATCCTGTCCTCCTGACGTGGTCCTGTGCCCATGGAACCCCTTTCCCTCAAGCAGAGCCCCTCCAGCCCCATGTGCTGCCCTGCCAGGAGTGTGGCCAGGACATGAGAGCAGCTCTCACTCTGCAGGAAGGGGCTGCCCTGCACTGGTTGCAGCTCTTGAGCCCATGAGCTGGCAGGAGCCCCAAGGCTGCCAGGGACGTATGTTAAGGGGAAACTGAGAGGGGAGCCACTTGTACAGGGATGCAAGCAGGCAGAAGGCCAGCCAGAGATGCTGCCACAGCAGTGGAAGGCAAGGGTTGGGCAGCTGAACACTGATTTTTTGGATTGTCTTCCTCCCTTCTGCCTGCCAGAGCCACTTCATCCAGAGCAGATGGTTCAAACTGGAACACGAAATGCTCCAGTAGCCTGGCATGCAAGAATGCCATGTGTCCTTTTTGTTTCAAAATAAGCTAAACTCAGCAAGACAAGGTTTTTGCTCATGATACACCACCTTCCTTTCACTAATACTTTGCTTAACTGCACCTCAAGGTGTAGTTCAGTTCCCACAGTCATTTCTTCCCTCAAACACTTCCCTGCTTCTCAGGGCTTTAGGCTACCAGTGCCAGCTCTTCAGGTTTTTACACATCTGCTTTCTCCCAGGGATGCCCATGTGGCGCTGTGCAGAACAAGAGTGCCTGCACCTTCAGAATTTCCACACTGAAGTCCCCTCCCTGTGGCTTAGCTGTGTTAAGTACTTACCCTGCAAAGATAAAGCCAGCCACCCCCCTCTCCAGCAGACTGCACGTATTTAGGAAGCTGTTTATTCTCAGCACACCTGTTCTGTAGACAGAGATGGTGGCAGATGAGTTTAGTTCTTGGGTGGCAAGTTATACCATGATGTATTCCAAAATACTCAGCATTTAGGGGCAAAGATCTGTGCTAGAAGTGACCAATTGTTCCAGTGAGCAGTACACCCACCACTCCAGCTTCAGGACCTGATGTCATATCTCTGTGAAAATGGAATGAGCAGAGAAACAGGCAGACACCAAATTACTCTCATTCCTTGCATAGCTCAATTCCTCACTTTCAGTCCTAGACCAGCAGCCTCCAGGGATAAGAAAGTGCATTGTCAGAAAATCATTTCACCTGAATTCCTGCATTTATGAAAATTTTCCTGAGGGCTCGAGAGGACTCTTGAGTTAACTAGAATCAAAATCCATAAGGGAAAAGATGATCTGAAAAGGCCTGTGGTGGAGGACTTGGGAAGGAATTCTGCTTGGCCAGACTTAAGCAGGAAAAAAAAAAAAAGAATAATGTATTCATATGAGCAATT